TGTGTGGTAACACCCATTGTTTCATGTTCTCTGTGTATATAAAATCTCCCCACTGTATTTTCCACTGCATGCATCCGATGAAGTGAGCTGTAGCTCCCGAAAGCTTATGCTCAAATAAATTGGTTAGTCTCTAAGGTGCCACAAGTACTCCTGTTCTTTTTGCAGATACAGACTAACACGGCTGCTACTCTGAAACCCATTGTTTTAAATGATTCACTGGGTAATTTCTGCAAATAATTCTTGGTCTCTATCTAGTTCATCAGCAATTTGTTACAAGTTTTCAGTATTCAAACTTTGACCTGCATCAATTAGTTTTGATTGGGCATGTATGTCATTGTGATATGTTCTGTTCTCTGATTGGAGGATCTTAGCACAAAGGCCAGGTTTACTCTACAAGTGTTTGCTGGCACACCTATGTTACTTGGGTGTGAAGAAGTGTGATCTCTGACCAGTGTAGCTGTGCAGGCCAAAGCCCCTAATGTAGACACAGTTATACCAGCAAAACTATGCTTTTGCTGATAGTTTGTTTTGCTCGGGAGGGGGAGGGAGGGTAGAAATAAACTGTACTGGCAAAAGCCGTAATGCCCATATAAACTGTGTCCACACTAGGATCACTTTGCTGGTGTAATATACTGGTATTGCCACACCAGCAAAGCACTCCTTTTGTTAATCTGGCCTAGAAATCAGGCATTTCCTAATCTAGTGATTGGGAATTCAAAATTTACTTGACACCAAAATTCCCCAATAATTACTTGAAAATTGCTCAGCATTCCTGCCATTCTCTTTAAAAACGGCTGTACACTCCTGGCAGGAGACTCCTTCGGTTAGAATATATGGGGAAAGCCGAAAAGAGGCTGCAAACACTGGCAAATCAAAGACATTGGAACAAATTTTGCAGAGTATTTGGCCAAGTTCCTTGCTAGTATTAATGGGGGCAACAACAGTTTTGCCCTCTTGTGCCAGCAAAGAATTTGGCCTGCTTTTGTCATAGGTATCCATTTCAATCCCAAAACCTGTGTACATCCTTCGTGAAACATCGAGGACCAAGTCCATCCTTGGTGCAGCTCTGAGCAGAGGATTCTTCTCCGCTCCCTCTCAATGTCTCTCCCGCTCTCCTTTAGTTTTCTATGTTGTACAGTCCCAGACCATCCTTTGCCAAGCCTCCCTGTCCTCTCCCTCCCACATCGATTGCTTTGGGTTTCCTGCCAGAGGATTTGTGTCTGTGTTTGAACAGCCAAAGCCAAGGATGTTTCTCCATGTGAAATCCACCCTTTACCCTAACATCTTATCTGTCCTTGCCCCCCCCCCCCCCATGGTGTCATTCTGTCCCAGCTCCCTGTGTTTGTGGTAGAGTTAATGTTTACCATCATCAACTCCGCCTGGCTCTTGCTATCAGTATGTGCTTCTTTGCAGAGGAGGTAGGTGGATGTGCAAAGAGAAGAGAAACATCAGTTGCCCCTGCAGGTGATTTTGGAAGTAGTTTCTCAACCAGCTCCATTCATGACCGTGACCAAAGCCCTTACATTGCAGTTGTCTGCAGCACTAGACCCCCATCACAGAGCAAGCTGTCATTGTTGAATATAGTAGTGTTGGTTTGTAGAAGTCACCCTCCACTGTTGTTCTTGGCAGATGGGGCATATTGCTTCGCTCCTGGCGATGCTGAGAGACACACATCTGTGTCCAGTCTAACTTCAGCCATTCCACTTTTGAGTGTCTGGGGTGAGAGAGATTACTGAACCAAATGCAAGCTGCTTGTCTGCTTCCCCAGGAATCTCTCTTTCGCATCAGTGAGTCACAGTCCCTGTGCCTGGGATTAAGCCCTATTCTGGTTCCTCTGGCTTAGCCAGAGCTGAGGTTTTGTAGATGTACTTGTGCACAGTTCTTTGAGTCTTTTACTGGATACACTCTGGCCCAGCTCCCGGAGAATCATCATCATCATCATCATCATCAGTGACCCTGCATTCTGAACAGGAGCTGTGCCATATTACCAAAGTCTTCCTGTGCATGTCCTCCTTTGAGCATTTCTGCACTTTAAGGGGGATGGGGTAGTGAGGGGGGCAGCCACTGTGGATTGCAGAAGTTTAAACCAATCTCCCCTGAACTCTCAGCGAGTCCAGCTGCCGGAGCTTGAAGGCAATCCTCACCCTACCTTGCAAACGTGGACCTGGTTACTGAATAAAAGGAAAGGAGTACTTGTGGCACCTTAGAGACTAGCAAATTTATTTGAGCATAAGCTTTCGTGAGCTGCAGCTCACTTCATGAGTCTCTAAGGTGCCACAAGTACTCCTTTTCTTTTTGTGAATACAGACTAACACGGCTGCTACTCTGAAACCTGAATAAAAGGAGGAACTCCAGTTTTTCAAAGGCATCTTGGGGTTATAGAGCTCCAGACCAGTCCAGTCTCCCCTCATGTTGCTGATTTCATCATAGCTGTGCTCTCCTCCTCCCTTCCCCTCCCCCTCAACGCAAGCTCTGTCCAACAACTTTCCATTACAGGAAACATCTGTTGGAGGCAGGGCTGAGCCTGGGTTACTGCAGGGCATTGGCCGACAGAGTTATCCAGATCCAGTAACTTAAAGCATGTGCAAATCATTTCAGTATCTCCCCACCCGCGCTGTCCATGAGAAAAATTAACAAAGACCAAAGCTGCCTTTCAGAGCAGAAAGGAGATGGGAGAGGAGAGCCTGAGGCAGGCGCTGAAGAAATAAGTTACTGCTTCTCTGATCAGCAGGCTGTGTTGGTGAGCTGCATACTGGTGTCCTGAGCAGCCTCGGAATTTGAGGCTAGATCTGTGATTTACTGCTAACACTGTGGGGTCCTGGAGAGCTGGACTATGTAAGTGTCTGCTTGTCCTGAGCAGCCGTGTCTGTAAGGCACTGCTGCCCCCTTGCAGCCCCGCTTGGACTCTTCCAGCTGAAGGCACTTTTGCAGTGCTCCTTTAAAGGATACTCCCGAGTGGTGACCAGTGAGAGAGAAGCCACAAGAGCGCGAATAGTGCTGACCAGTGAGTTCCCCTTATGAGCCACTTTTTCAAAGTCTCTTGGAGAGTGATTCTTCTCTGGAGCTGCAGAGACTGCTAGGGCAGAAGAGCTGAATGTGAGGAGGAGAGAAGCAGGCTGCTGCTGTGTCTTCATTCATTGACTTTGAATCTGAACCAGTGCAAGTGGCAGTGTGAGCCGGAGAAGGGGAAGGTGGCAGAGAGGTCGAAGGTATCGAGGGGGTGTCATGGATTGCTTGCTGGAGTGTGGTGCGCTCTGGGGCCCCATGCTGGGTCAAGAGAACGAGGAGTTGCTGTGGTACCTGGGGGGGCTGAACAGTTCACCCCAAGAATATGACAGCCCAGGATCAGAAGAAATTCCAGCCGTGAGTGTCTTCATTTATCAGTGTCACAGAAGTTCTGGTGCCTCCTCTCTTTGCCACTTAGATCCCACTGCCAAACAGAAGACTCTGGAGAGTCCAGTTTTTAAATATGGAAGCCCTCATGGAGAATCCCAAGCCCAAACTGGGGATCGGAATGTCCCCGACTGCAGGGGAAGGTTCTGATCCAGATCCAAAGTTTACTGCTCAACTCAATCTCTCCAATGGGCTGAACCAAAACCTCAGTTCTGATTGCACCCCTTCTCCTAGCTCACCCCACCATGAGCTTTGGAGAAATTTGGCTCCAGGCTGGAACTCCTCCGCTGGGCCCACCTCTAGCCCTGAGCCCACATTTGGATGCTCAGATTGGCATATTGGTGAGTAAATTCCCAATTCACACACCTGCAAATTTCTGTGTCCAGTGCAAGACTGTGACATGGTAATGAAGTACCTATCTTTGGGTCCACAGACTGTCTCTGAAGGACCTAGATGACGCAAAGAGCTATTAATGGCTTATTAATCAAACTCGAAGGGGGGTGCAAAGGAGAAGCAGCTAAATTCTTAGTGAGACAGTTCTCAGGGGAATGAGAGGGGCTGATTTTTGCATGATTTTTTTTCTTCACTTCTTCCTGTGCTAATACTTTTGTATTACACATGGCAAGTAATCTCCCTGGTGTCCTCTCCCTCCCCTTCCTCTAGTAGAAGGCGACTTCTGAATTCCCTGCGTTCTACCCTCATTCACCTGTCTTTCTGACTCAGGGAACGTGTTGCCCTGCAAGAATAGGGGTGGGAAGGGATTAGACAGACGGGGCTGTACTTCAGGAGAAGGGAGCATTCTGGATTAGAGGAGAGATGTGCTACATTGGCATTTCTGCCTGCTTCCATTCATAGCTCTCAGAAGGCTCTGCCGGCAGGGAAGGTTCAGCCATTCTCAGAAGTCAGCATTGGCCAAGGAGGCTGCATTTGGCCAAGATTACCGCTCCCGAGATGGATTCATACTAAAGTTTAGTAAACACAGGAGAGGAGCCAGCTCATGGTCTTGCTGCAGCCAGTGGCAAAACTTCCATTGATTGTCTTCATTTGGGCCAGCGTAAAGTCCCCACATGCAGCTTCTCCTGTCTCCCACGGGAGTGCTGGCACCACACCAGTCGGCAGGGAGAGCTCCAGACTTCAGCATCCATGAGCTCCCAGTGCCAGTGTTTCTACCTCATTCTCTGCAGCACCTGACGCTCGGGTTCCTATACCACTCCCTGCATTGCTGTCTTCTGGAATAGCTGGTGGGATGCACCACCTCCAGAGCTCCTCTAGCACCTGGTGCTGGGAAAGTCTGCAGTCCATGAGAGCTTCCCTGCAGCTGTCACTGCTGTGCTGTTCCACGCTGCCGCCTAGCAGACCATGGCATAGACCTTCTGCTTGCTGCTCCCACTTCTCTGACAAGTCAGGGTCTCTTCCTCCTTTATTCCTGCCTTCTGCACACTTACTAAACTAAGCCCCCAATCTTCCCCTCGATGTGTCACTGGGATAAAATCTCCTGCTTTTATAAACTCATTGAATCTCCTCCTTGCACCACATGCCCTGATGTCCTTGTCTTTCTCTCCCCGCCACTCCCAGTCCCTCTCTAATGGTCACTCTGTTATTTGCAGGTGTTGAGTCCGACGTATAAACAGCGTAATGAAGACTTTAGGAAACTCTTCAAACAGCTTCCTGACACTGAGCGCCTCATAGTAGGTAAGGCTGGCTGGGCTCCTCCCTGCCCTTCTGCACTGTGCCCTGCTAGGCTGTGGGCGGACGTTTCGGGAGGAAGCTCAGGGACAGGTGCATGAGTCTGTTTCCTCTAGAAAGAGGTCACCCTGAAGCCTTGTCTACACTTGCGGTGGTGTGTAGGGTGTGGTTAGCTCCATGCCGCAGTGAAAGGCCGGCTGCATCCACGCTGCCGTGCGGAGCTCCATGCCGCAGTGAAAGGCCGGCTGCATCCACGCTGCCGTGCGGAGCTCCATGCCGCAGTGAAAGGCCGGCTGCGTCCACACTGCCGTGTGGAGCTCCATGCCGCAGTGAAAGGCTGGCTGCGTCCACGCTGCCGTGTGTAGCTCCACGCCGCAGTGAGTGAAAGGGCCGCTGTGTCCCGCGCTGCCATGCGGAGCTCCACGCCGCAGTGAAAGGCCGGCTGCGTCCACGCTGCCATGCGGAGCTCCACGCCACAGTGAGTGAAAGGGCAGCTGCGTCCACGCTGCCGTGCAGAGCTCCACGCCGCAGTGAAAGGGCAGCTGCGTCCCGCGCTGCCATGCGGAGCTCCACGCCGCAGTGAGTGAAAGAGCAGCTGCGTCCACGCTGCCATGCGGAGCTCCACGCCACAGTGAGTGAAAGGGCAGCTGCGTCCATGCTGCCGTGCGGAGCTCCACGCCGCAGTGAGTGAAAGGGCAGCTGCGTCCACGCTGCCGTGCGGAGCTCCACGCCGCAGTGAAAGGCCGGCTGCATCCACGCTGCCGTGCGGAGCTCCACGCCGCAGTGAAAGGCCGGCTGCATCCACGCTGCCGTGCGGAGCTCCATGCCGCAGTGAAAGGCCGGCTGCGTCCACGCTGCCGTGCGGAGCTCCACGCCACAGTGAGTGAAAGGGCAGCTGCGTCCCGCGCTGCCGTGCGGAGCTCCACCCAGCAGTGAAAGGCTCTGGCACAGGTGAGGCTGATTCCCCTGTACTCCACCCACCTAAACAGTGCCTCACCCTCCACACAGCTGTTCACACCTACACTAGTGGAATGTGCAGTGTCCGTACTCTGCATGCAGCCATAAGTATAGTGAACAAGCCCGTTGCCTGCCTCCCGTATATGTAGGGCCCGATCCTCAGCTGGTGCAAACGGCCCTTTTGCTGCTGGCTTCACTAAAGCAACACTGATTGGCTCTGCCTGAGGATCTGGCTCCTAATGGCTTCGAGAGCCTGGAGAAAAGTCCCCTTCCCACTTGGTGAGTCAGGTGAGGGGTTAGCCTGAGAGCTGGTTTGCAGCTGTTAACTCAACCCTACCACAACGATCCTTGTCTGATGGAGGGGAGAGTATCTGAGGGAAGGGGAGAAGAAAGGGCTGAGTATAAGCAGGCAAGGAGTAGTGTGTGGAGGGGTGGGGGAAAGGAGGGTTAAAGCAAAGGCCTCAGCACAGATGGGTAAAGTTTAAGCCACCGAAGAGGTCCAGCTGTGCCAAGTTCCCATCCAGCTCCACGTTCCCCATATGTGTGTTAGGAGGAAGGTCCAGAGTTGTCACGTGGGCCTTTTTCTTGTTTATTTTGGGTTACCCACCTTAGCAGTCGCACTGCTCCACCTTCTCCCTGTAACCCCTCCTTCACACCTGCTCTGCGCTGCCCCTTCACACGGTGTTGCCCGTTTCTCCCACTCCCAGTTAAGCCACCGTGCTGCAGCGGTTTGACTACTGCCCGTCGCACTGCATCCATTCACTCGTACTGTGCGTGCGTGATGATCTGGGAACCACCCGTTACTGTCTGGAAGGTGCAAATGCTGAGGAGGGAGAAGAGCTGTTGGGGATGGTTCAGGCGGGCAGAGCTATGTCTAATGCCACCGAACAGTGGAAAGGAAAATACAACCATTTTTCCTGGCTCAGCTCTTTGACTTGTTTTGGCATAGTTGTGGTTCTGTCTGGCCTGCCAGCTCAAGCAATATGCCAGTGCTCCTGCTTCCTGCTTATCTTCTGGTGCCTATCCACAGATTACTCATGTGCGCTTCAAAGAGACATTCTCCTGCAGGGTCGACTCTACCTCTCCGAAAACTGGATCTGCTTCTACAGCAACATCTTCCGCTGGGAAACACTGGTAAAGACCCTCTTACTTCTCCATCAGGGTTGTGATTTTCAGGGCTGTCAGGATTTTCTTGCCCATCTCAAAAGCATTCTGGGCATGCTGTGACTTCTTCGTTAACTCACCTCTTTATCCCCTTTCTCTTTCTCGCATCCCTTTTCTCTTGTGCCATGGCCCTGACCATAGCTGACAGTCCGTTTGAAGGATATCTGCTCCATGACCAAGGAAAAAACTGCACGGCTCATTCCTAACGCCATCCAAGTTTGCACTGACACTGAAAAGGTATGTCCCAGAACCCTCCACTTCTGGCCAATCTGCACAAGGTGAGTGCTAAGCTAGTCTGGTGCCGGGGTGGTATAAATACCTAACGTGGGGTCAGCGCTGATGTTGGCATTGGGTAGACGCAGAGATGCAATATACACACTGCATACTGCTAAGTGTAGCTTTGGGGACATGAGGGTAATGTAGGGACAGCATCCAGACCCTGAGATAAGGCTGGCTGATCTAGGGACAGCGAATGGATTGTTGTGTGGGGAAAGGGTTATGCAAGGATGGCATTAGGGAAAGGGACTGGGAAATCACTAATCCCTGCCAGTTGGGCAAATCATTTCCCCTCTCTGAGCCTCAGACTTCCCATCTCTAAAATGGGGATAATGCTATTTACCTTACAAACCCCTCGCACATGAATTTTTGACTCACAGTGTAGGTTATTGAGTTAATGGCTACTTATCATGTCCTCAAACATGCTCCCTTGGGTAAGTGACGCTCAGATCCCCCCTTTGCTCAGTAGTTGAACAGTTCTGCTTTCAATAAGCTCATTAATTCTCCATGTGTTCTGCTCACGAAGCTGAAATCGGGTTCCTCTGTTTTTTGCTGGCATTCACTTTTTCTCTCTGTCTCTGCCTTTTCAGCACTTTTTCACTTCTTTTGGTGCCCGAGATAGGACGTACATGATGATGTTCAGACTCTGGCAGAATGCTCTCCTCGAAAAGGTACGGAGACTTTCCTGTGTGCGTGTAGCAGAGCTCCCTGCTGCCTGGCTGGGGCAGTCTGCTTGCTTAATGTGCTGCCCCAGCTCAGACCCATGCAGGAATCCACAGTGCTTGTGACTAATCCATATACATGAACCTGTAGGTATAGTAAATGCACATCTATGCAAGCAAATCAGGTAATTGTGCAAGTGCAATTACCCCTGTTACTCACAGAATTACTTTTATGCATAGGCATATCGGCACACAAATTAAAGCTTCTCTGTTGAAAATGTGTCCCACCTCTTTTACCACTGCTGGTGTATGAATACGTGTGTGGCCCAGCAATAGTTTTCGTAAGGCCCTCATTTAAAATTAACTGGCCCAGAGAAAAGTAGTTCCTGCATGTAGCAGAAATCTCTGACCACACAGGCAAAGGGCATAACAGGCACACAGTGCAGGAGGGAGAGTCAAGGATGGGACAGAGACAGAGCATGAGTCTATGACATCCCAGAGTGTGTGGGAGCAGTAGAGAAGATGCAAGACACATAGGGTAACACTGGAAGAGTATGGTTCCAAAAAGTGCCAGTATATGCCACCTATTCTGCAGCAGCTGGAGTCCCGAATGTATCTGGTTTGCCTTGCAGATTCCATCCTGTACCAGTATGTCCAGCCTCACTGCAGGAGTGAGAGTCCAGGATGGAACAGATAGGACTATCAGCACGTGGAGGTGTGCTCAGCAATGCCATAGGAGTGTGAGCTCACAACACGCTAGAAATGTTAACTAAAGCAGGCCTTGATTTCAGGACAAGGCAGTGTTAGCATGTAGCAGGATAAACTTCTCTCTGCGATACCTTAATGTATCACCAGTGTAACATAGTGATTGAAACAGCCTTATTTAAATTCATATTGAAAGTCTGTGTCCTTAGTTCAAGGCTTGAAACAAACAGGAACTGAGATTTGGAGCGGTGAAGACAGGAAATACTTTAAGCTCTTTCCCCAAATTCAGGGCCCAAGGCTGGTAGCAGGGAGGGAGAAAAAAGAAAGAAACCCAGCCAGGTGCCCTTGATAAAGCATATGAATTGAATAGACTGCAGATGGGCAGAGGATGAAATGGAACTAGATTGCCTCCTGGTAAATCTGTTTCCCATTTGAGCCTGGCCATCATTTTGACGATTACTGTGACATGGTTAAATCATTGAACCTTGATTAAGATTTTCCTTCCTTGTCACAGACAGCAACAACTGGGAAAAATTCAAACCAACCAACTCCAGAAAGGTTCACGGGATTTTTATTTTTTTTAATTAGTGAGAAATCCTTCTTGCCTGTCATTTTAATTCCTGTTGGAAACAAACCATCCCTTTATTGTCCCCCAGAACCTCTACATCACAAGTTCTGCTGCCTCTTCTCTGCATAGTTGGAAGATGTAGTCACGTTCTGATCAGCTGATCTTGATCCCCAAAGGGCTAGGTTTTGAAGATTAACCTTCCCTGTAATTTTGTTTCTCTTTCTAACTAGTGGCGTGTATGATCTTTTCACAGTAATGCCACGAGTCCATCTCTTCACAGTAACGCTAGTCTTCTCAATTTAAAGCCCCAGGGGAAAATATCTTTGTCTCCTCAAAGCCACTTGAGGTTTTTTTGTTTTTTTTTTGTTTTGTTTTGTTTTGTTTAATGGCTTTCTCTGTAGCAGCAAAATGTGGGCAGCCTCCATTAAAAAAAAGAAAAGAAAAAGAAACAAACTTGTCAAAAAACCCAGAGGTCCTTTGTATCGTGTCAGTGGGAGGGTAAAAACACACATGAAGGAGAGAAGAGCTTCGTAAAGGAGCAGAACTACCATGGTTGATGATATTTATACAGCACTATGGAGATATGCAGGGAGATTTGTCGGCAGGTCTCCCTCTCCAAGCTGCTCCAGGGCTATCCTCGTCCTGGTGCTTCCTCTCCTCTTTCCCAGGCATCTGACGAGCCATGAGGTTGTTGTATAGGAAATCAAGGAGGTGACCAAGAGCTATCTAGGCCAGAACTTGAGCTGACAGCAAAAGCTTGCATGGTAATGGTGTGACTACTATATCAGGGTGGTCTCTAATCTGGGGCAGTTTCTGTATGTGGCAATATGTATGCTCACAGCATCACTGGGGTTTATTGCCAGGAAGAGACTGTCACGAGCTTGTGGCCCTGGGAGAGAAGATGCTATGCCACGGCGAGCTACATTACTGAGATCTCACTTCAGCTCCCCAGGCAGGAAATTAGCCCTTCTGTGAAAATGAAAGAAATGGCTTTAAATTGGTAAAGAAAGAGAAAGAAAGTGAGGTGAGCAGCATTGCAGGAAACTAGAACACCCAGCAACAGTTCCCTGCCTTAGGTCATGGACAGAAACTTCCACTAGTTCCCCTCGGGCTGAGACCCCCATAGGCCTGACCTGTATGCCAGCATGTTTATGCCAGGCTTTTCCTGGGCTCTGGCATTCACTGGGCCGGAGTGTTATCTCATGGTTGGAGAAGAGGAATAACTATCAGGTGTCCTTGGTTCTATTCACAGCTGGGACACCTTGGGTGAGTCAAGCGTGGGTGTTGCGAGGATGAGTCAGTCATTGTTAGGGTGGCACACTGAAGGTGTGAAGTGCTATGTAAGTGCTAAGCGAGATGAATTAGTTAGTGTCTGGAATTCTTAGATGGAAGGTGTATGGTGTTATCCTTTCCGCCCTCCCCCCGTAGCCCCTGTGTCCAAAGGAGCTCTGGCACTTCGTCCACCAATGTTACGGGAACGAACTGGGGCTGACCAGCGATGATGAAGACTATGTGCCTCCTGATGATGATTTCAACACGATGGGGTGAGTAAGTGAAACTAGCTCATGATGAAGGATTGTGAATGCTGGTGATGCCTTCAGGAAATTAGGACCCCCATCCCTTGCAGGCCTCCAACTACCATTGAACTCAGTGTGCAAGGAGTTGTGGGATCAGGCTGGAGATCTGAACTAAGCACCTAATGCTGCAGATGCTTATCATGGACCATATCCTTTTACCTGTCAATGGACCTTCAGCACTGAAAGAACAGTGCCCTGCTATTTGAGTTAAAGGAGTAGTAGCTCTGTTAGCAAGGAGCAGGCTGTTACACTGACTGGAGCCAGCCACTGCAGCGAGCACATAGTGTTTCACACAAGCCAATGCATTATCCTGACAGAAGATACCAAAACCTCTTGATAATTTGTATAAGCACCTGAAATGTTGGGGGCTGGAACCATGTTGGGAAAAGGCTGTTCCCACAAGATTCCCAGTCATTTCTGCTTCCGCTCAGGCTGGAAATACCATGAGAACATCCTTATTCCAATGTTTCCCATCTCCAGTCCCGGCCAGAGGTAGGAAAATACAGAGTTAAAGACTGGTGTGTTCTGTCTGGATTTACAGCTACTGCGAGGAGATCCCTGTAGAAGAAAATGAAGTGAATGACAGCTCCTCCAAGAGCAGCATAGAGGCCAAACCTGAAGCTAGTCCTCTGCTGCCCAAGAAGTCCATCACCGCCAGCACGTTGACATCCACGGGGAGCAGTGAAGCGCCAACTTCGGTATGTGTCTCCTTCCCCTACCCCGTCCCAAATCTGATTGCAGACCAGAGGCCAGGAGCATACAAATAGGCTGATGGAAAGACAGGCTATGACTTAGAGGAGAGATTCAGGTCGATAATTTAGCAATCTGCAGAAGTTATGTGTAATCTCTTGGGGATACTGTTGTCTTATTTATTTATTTATTTAGACCTATACACACACCCTTTAAGCAGGGAGTTCCTGATCCTCCTTCTTTTGACAGTTCTTAAATAAACCGTGCTGTAACAGGCTGCTCCTATAGTCTCTCTTCCAATGCAACCAAAAATAACCCACCCCCAAAAGCATTGCTATGATCTGTCGTCGTGACCCTCCACAAGGAAAAAAAAAAAAAAAGAAGGGGGACCTGCAGCCTGCCATGAAAGTCATTAACCATGCCTGTTATATGGTGGCAATGAAAGCATTTTGGCATCTGTGGGCCCAGATTAAAGGAAACTGATTTTTCAAGATAGATTCAGGTTGGTTGTTTTTTCCCCTCTAAAATCTCTTTTCACTCGTGGCGTCACTCCAAGGCAGAGTTAAGGTGATTGAGGTGGCCTGGCTGCACGTTTCCACACCTTGACAAGTTCGGATTGTGTTGGGGGTTTAAGCTGAACTCTGAATTTCCTGGGTTTATAGTGCTTGTTTGGGGGATAATTGCAACTTGGATATGTTTTTTTTTATTATATATCCTTATGTATATACTCAACCTTAACTGAAATATAAAAAGGTCTGTGGGAATACATGATATAGCAGCACACACATGCACACAAAGTATTAGCTTGATTTCCAGAGGTGTTGAGCAGCCCCAGCTTCTGTTGAAGTCAAAGGGGGCTGCAAGTGTTCAGACTTTGAAAAATTGGTCCCTGTGTGTATTAAAAATAAATATATCAATTAGGGCTGTTGATTAATTGCAGTTAACTCATGTGATTAATTCAAAAAAATTTATTGCAATTAAAAAAATTAATCGTGATTAATCACAGTTTTAATTGCACTGTTAAACAATAGAATACAAATTGAAATTTATTAAATATTTTGGATGTTTTTCTATATTTTCATATATATTGTATTCTGTGTTATAATTGAAATCAAAATGCATTTTGTTTTTTATTATAAATATTTGCATGGTAAAAATGATAAAAGAAATAGTGTTTTCAGTTCACCTCATACAAGTACTATAGTGCAGTCTTTGTTGTGAAAGTGCAATTTACAAATGTAGATTTTTATTTGTTTGTTTACATTTGCAGGATATAATGCTGCCCTCTTCTTTTTTACACTGTCACCAGAAAGTGAGAATAGGCATTTGCATGGTGCTTTTGTAGCCAATATTGCAAGGTATTTACGTGCCAGATATGCCAAACATTTGTATGCCCCTTCATGCTTCAGCCACCATTCCAGAGGATGCTTCCATGCTGATGACACTCGTTAAAAAAATGATGTGTTAATTAAATTTGTGACTGAACTCCTTGGGGGAGAATTGCTTGTCCCCTGCTCTGTTTTACCCACTTTTTGTCATACATTTAATGTTACAGCAGTCTCCGATGATGACCCAGCACATGTTGTTCATTTTAAGAACACTTTCACTGCAGATTTCACACAACACAAAGAAGGTACCAATGTGAGATTTCTAAGGATAGATATAGCACTCAACTCAAGGTTTAAGTATTTGAAGTGCCTTCCAAAATCTGAGAGGGACGAGGTGTGGAGCATGCTTTCAGAAGTCTTAAAAGAGCAATACTCTGATGCGGAAACTACAGAACCCAAACCACCAAAAAGGAAAATCAACTTTCTTCTGATGGCATCTGACTCTCATAATGAAAATGAACATGCCTCGGTCACTGGTTTGGATCGTTATCAAACAGAACCGGTCATCATCATGGACTTACGTCCCCTGGAATGGTTATTGAAGCATGAAGGGACATATGAATCTTTAGAGCATCTGGCACATAAATATCTTGTGACGCCGGTTACAACAGTGCCATGAGAACGCCTGTTCTCACTTTCAGATGATATTGTAAAGAAGAAGTGGGCAGCATTATCTCCTGCAAATGTAAACAAACTTGTTTGTCCGAGTGATTGGCTGAGCAAGAAGTAGGACTGAGTGGACTTGCAGGCTCTAAAATTTTACATTATTTTATTTTTGAATGCAGGTTTTTTTTATATAATTCTACATTTGTAAGTTCAACTTTCATGATAAAGAGATTGCACTACAGTACTTGTATTAGGTGAATTGAAAAATACTGTTTCTTTTGTTTTTTTACAATGCAAATACTTGTAATCAAAAATAAATACAAAGTGAGCACAGTGCACTTTTTATTCTGTGTTGTAATTGAAATCAATATATTTGAAAATGTAGAACACATCCAAAAGCTATTTAAATAAATGGTATTCTGTTATTGTTTAACAGCGCGATTAATCGTGATACATTTTTTTAATTGCTTGAGAGCCCTAATATGAACCCTTCCCACACCATCAGATGTCACTTCGGGCAGGAGCATGGCTCCCCATCCTTGTATATCATGCGGTTTGCAGGAATGGCTACCTTGTTGTGCTTCTATAATTTAACTTTTTTTATGAGGATAGGTGGTTTGCCCATTGCTCAGCCCCAACCTGGAAGACTGCTTGTCCTCTGGGCTCCTCTAGTCTTTGACCTGTAGGGTGTCTGTGTCTCAGAGAGAGAGCTATGCCAATGGGAATTTTAACTGATAGGGGGCGTATGTGTGTCAAAATTGCATTGCGTAGTTCTCTGTGGTGGCATCCTGATTGCCTTTCTTGCACTCTGTCCCCCTCCCAGTTTGACGGGATGCTTCCGGAGGAGGAGGAGTTGGTGGAGAGTCCCCTTGAGAAGGAACTCACCCTTGAAAACATCATTGGAGACAAGATAGAGATCATCACCCCGGTGAACTCCCCTTCCCTGGACTTCAACGACAATGAGGACATTCCAACGGAGCTCAGCGACTCGTCAGAGACCCATGACGAAGGTGGGCAGTGATGGCAGGTATTGCTGTCCTGTGGTGTCCCATGATGCACTGGTGCTATCTTTCCCAATTGGAGGTGTTGGTGGGGATACTGTGCTACCCTCCTTTACTGGATCCATGAGGTCTTTCGTGTTCTTTCGCACCAGGAAGACACCAGCAACTCAGCATCGTGGGCCAGATGAAAGGCTAACAATGAAATAACTCCATGGGGTGAATTACACTACTAATGTTATGGTCATTGCCCTGGGGGCATTAAAAGAAAGGGAACCAGCTGTGTCTCCTTTGGGCTCGTCTCCTTTCCCAGACTGTCAGTGGTACTGTCCTGGCACTGCAAAAGGGGAGCCTTTGAGCCTGGTGCAGCGTTCTTTGGCCTGAAGGCCAGCAGCGCGCTCACCCATCTCTGTCTCCCTGCAGGAGAAGTTCAGGCCTTTTACGAGGATCTGAATGGCCGGCAGTACATGAATGAGGTGTTCAGTTTCAGCGTGGACAAACTGTATGACCTGCTCTTCACTGACTCCCAGTTCCAGAGGGATTTCATGGAACAGCGTCGGTTCTCCGGTGAGCCATGCACCATCCTAGCACAGGCCCCACGCCCAGCAGCTGATTCAGGCAGCGTCCTCTGAGCGCTAGGAGCTAAGGGCAATGCAGAAGGGGGCCTCTGCATGTTGGTCTGGAGCGCGCAGCTTAGAGGCACAACTTAGCGTAATGCTGTTGCTGCCACAAGTGTACCTGGAGGGTGAGGCTGGCTGGGCTGGCGGTACCAATGGGAGTCCTGAAGTCTTTGGCAGTTCCAGGCTCCATTTAAGGTCAGCCCACCCTTGATCACACACCCAGCTCCAGGCACCAGGTTACCAGTAGAAAGCATCTCTGCCTCCTCATGCAAATCCTAGCACATCACAGAGTGGCACAGTCTGTAGCCCAGGCAGGGAGTGATCCTTGGTGTAGTACAGTCCATGTTTTTACTGTAGCTCTAACATCGTCATGTGGGAAGACAGAGAGACCCCCTGACCCTATCCCTGATGCTGGACAAGGGGAGAGAAACCAGACCTTGGAATTCCTCAGGCATTTCTAAAGCTAAAGCAATGCTACAGTGAGCCTCTTTCTACATGTTTTCTGTCTGTCCCCCAACTGGCAGCCTCACAGGACTTGAAAAGTATGGTGGTTGGAAAGGTCAACACAAAACTCTTTTATTAAAAAAAAAAATAGATAAATGAAGTGAATGTGAGCACTGTCAGAGGGTGCTGGATTGACAGCCCTGGAGAATGATGTTCTGGTGTATCTGTGGGACAGTCAGCAGCTTCCCCAGCCCGTCCACATTAGTGTGTCTCTGTCCTTGGAGAGGCCATGGCTAGGGGAGGGAGAGGTCTTCAGTCTCCATGGTCCATTTCAGTCCTCTGAGTCTCAAGCCGGCCAAAGAGGGGAGCAATGAGGGCCAATCCTGTTGGGTCTGGGTGTACGGATAGCTTCCCACACCTCTGTCAATTCAAGATTCTAACTCGGTGGCCTTTCCTTTCCAAGATATTATCTTTCATCCATGGAAGAAGGAAGAAAACGGCAATCAGAGCAGAGCAATCCTGTACACGATCACCCTCACCAACCCTCTCGCCCCGAAAACTGCTACTGTCACCGAGACTCAGGTACATGGAAGCAGAATAGGAAGGTGACAGAGACTGATCAGAGACTTATTTTAATACCCCGGGCTCTGGGATGTGCATGTGCTCTCTCACTCTCGCTCTCTCCCCTGCATGGCTTCCTCTGTTATTAATTTGCCACTCATTATCATTGCAAATTCTAATAGCTAATTTGTGCTACAGGGAAGTGACTGGGAATTTCCAGGTGAAGGGAAATCTGTTCCCAGAACAAACAGCCTAATTAAACAGCAAAGCCACTGTCTGCACCAGTGGTTCCCAAAGTACAGCCTGTGGGGCGACTTGCTGGTGGTCATTAGGGAGCAGGTGGGTCACATGGGGGTAGCTCCTCCTCTTTCCAGCTGCCTGTGTAGGAGTCTAGGCTCTTTATTGCATAGAAATGCTCAGAGCCAGAGGCCTGTAAAAGCAGATGGAATCACAGAAGAGGAGCCAGTCTGGCTGTCTTCACTTAGTAGCTGCAGCTACATAGGAGGAAGCTGTAGCTCTGCCTTGAGACCAGAGCCTGCAGTGGCACTGGAGTTGCCAGCCACAGCCCAAGAGAAGAGTATCCAGGCAAGCAAGGGAGAAAGTAATGAGGCAGCCAGGAAGAATGCCCTGGGGAGCAGCGGGAGAAGACGACAGTGTGGCTGAACAACTTGCCTGGGAGGGCAGAAGAGATGGGAACCCAAGCAGCAAGGAAGCATTTGTAGGTGAAGAAGAGGACTATGCAACAGGGAAGCATATGCAGGATGGAAGGAGAAGAGGGCCAGCCAGGTGTGGGAAGGCAGAGTAGGGGGAGAGAGGCACAGAGCAGAGTGGGGAAAGGGGGAGATGAAATGAAGAGCAGAAGGAGCCAGTGCAAATAATTTTATTCCCAAGGGGACAAAGCACTTGTCACTCTACAAAAGCGGCAAAGAGTCCTGTGGCACCTTATAGACTAACAGACGTATTGGAGCATAAGCTTTTGTGGGTGAATACCCACCTCTTCAGATGCAAGTAGTGGAAATTTCCAGAGGCAGGTATAAATATGCAAGCAAGAATCCCTATCACCCACAAAAGCTTATGCTCCAGTGTGTCTGTTAGTCTATAAGGTGCCACAGGACTCTTCGCCGCTTTCACAGATCCAGACTAACACGGCTACCCCTCTGATACTTGACACTCTACAGAGAATCTGACACAGTTTGATCCTTCCTTCATGTTGTTTTCCTGCCTAAGCAAATGCTTAAGCTCCTACAGAGGTGTTATCTTGGTGGATGAGGACGTGGCCTGCATTATCATGATGGGAGGGGAGGTGTCCATGTCTTCCCAGCAGAGTTAACTCCTCTTGAGTTAGCCTAGCTCGAGAGAGCGTGGCCCCACTGTAAAATGACACCTGAGTTGCACAGAGTAATGCGTTGGCAGCTAATGTGTTGTGCTCACTTATCTGTAACCTGTATCTCCTCTCCTCCGATGGGACAACTTGAGTTAAAAACATCTCCAAACTTGAGTTAAGGGTTTCTGTTGTGTGGATGGGACTCAAGTTAGGGGCAACACTCAAATTACAGTGTAACTTGAGTTACCTTTGCAGTGAAGACAAGCCCTATGAAATCTCTGGAGAATCCCTGGTCTTTACAGTCACCTCTGTTAAAGTAATGAGGTTACCTTGTAAAGTAAATGGACTAGACTGTCTGTTGTCCTGCACCTTGTGTAGCCATTTCCACCAGTGCAAAGCTGTTCTGAAGTGCTACCAAACCCAGAGAGGTAATGATTTACACTCATTTTGCACTGGTGTAAATGATTTTGCAGTGCACAGTGCAATAGAGAATTGGGCCCACTGACTGCAGTAATTGATTATTCTATCCAGTAGGGCAATGCTACTTAGCCTTCATGCCAAGAAACAGATATTTATGTTGTTTACAAATATTTGCAAAATTCTTCCCTCTGTACAATATAAAGAGCCAGAGACCAGTTTATTGGGGAACGTTAGCATTGGTCAGTTACATAAGTCAGTTGGGATATTGTTTCTGATGGGATTAGGTGTGTAACTAACCAAAATTGCTTGAGTTTGGAATATTATTATCAAATTTCCAATTTCAGATTTGCCATAGGGAAATACTTGAGCTTAAATTTTGTGGGCTTTTTTTATGAATATTCACACCAGGAAAACTCAGCTGCTAACGGAAAACTTAACACAAAAGGGTCACAGAGGTGGCTCTTACCTCTGCATGAGATGTTTTGCATGATTGCAGTGAGGAGCCATGCTCTGCCCTGGCCTCGCTCTGACCAGACTAACCACTTCCCTGTGCTCTCCTCTCCGCTTTGCGCAGACAATGTACAAAGCCAGCCAAGAAAGCGAGTGCTACGTGATAGACGCAGAGGTGCTAACTCACGACGTCCCCTACCATGATTATTTCTACACCATTAATCGCTACACGTTGACGCGTGTCGCCAGAAACAAAAGCCGACTCAGGTACAGTACTCGGAGGGACTGTGGATTTGTTGATGAAGAAAAATACTCATCCACTGGCCCCTCTAGAGCAACTTTCCTCCAGGATCTCAAAGCACTTTACAAATAGGAAAGCTTGAACTCCTGCCCTTTGCTTTACAAGGGAAGGGTGGAGAGACTGCAAGAAGCCTGTCTGTGCCCCCTATACCTTAACCCTTGCAAGCAGAACCTCCCCATAGCTCTTGAGAGTGGTAGGAGAGGTGGCTACCCAATCCACTGGCCTTTGATCAGGCAGTGTAGTTGCTGCAAAGAAAGTGTGGGTTAGTGTTGGGAGGTGGCCGAGAGCCAGAGAACCTCTCTTGGAATAAATGGTTCATAGGGACAGCTGCTGTGTACTATCAATTGAATCTTGTGGGCAATGGGAGGCACCGACAGAGAGCACAGGGCTGTGAGAGATTCATAGGGTAAGTGGGGAAGCAGAGCTACCAGCAGGTTAGTACTGGGTACAATTCTGCAGCCTTGGAGGTTTGGGCTGGGCTTGGATCAGTGCCCTAGTGTTTGGCTGTGTGTTCCAGTACACGTGCAAACTTGCAGGGGAGGGGAGTTTTGAAAAGGGGCTGACAGGAACTGCCACAGGGAGAGGCTTTCAGGAATGGGCCACAGGCAGCAGTTTGGCATTTCAGGACCCAGCCAGAGCCACCATCAAAATCATAAGAGGGAGAAATAACACGTGCTCAGTTGCTTTAGCAAATGTTTGTAGGCTGTGGGTTCACCCGTTCCCACTGCATCCAGGGGGCAAAGATTAGGAGGTGACCGCTCAGGAAGAACTGGGTTTGTTCTTTTCTTCCCTCAGGGTTTCTACAGAGCTACGTTACAGGAAGCAGCCGTGGGGACTTGTGAAATCCTTCATCGAGAAAAACTTCTGGAGTGGCCTAGAAGATTATTTCCGTCATTTAGGTGAGAGCTGCAGTCACTCACACTGCAGCCATTACCAAGGGGCCGTGGTGTGTTGATATCAGGGGGTGTGCACATGCGTCCCTGCAGGCAGGCAGTCTGGTGGTGTGGGATCCAGTAGCGGACTAGCAAGGGTCGGCTACCGTGGCTGGGTTTTAGACAGAGCTGGATGATGTCATTACTTCACATTTAGCGCTGCCCGTTAAAATGTGCGGGTAGTGAGAGCTCAGTGCTTTAGCATGAACCTGACATTTGGCCAGGTGAATTATGGGCATGCGTGCTTTCATCTTCTGGAGCTGCCAGCACTGGGCCCTGCTTTGGCCCAGCGGGCGCCCTGGGTGGAAACTGTGTTGTTATGGTCCCAAGCCTCTGTGAAAGTGACCTTGTACAGAGAGACCCTCAGGTATTTTCCCTTGATATTAAACACGTTGCCTGACTCACTGCAGAGAGCGAACTGACCAAAACCGAGAGCATGTACCTAGCGGAGATCCACAGACAATCCCCCAAAGAGAAGATGAGCAAACAATCCACGTTGCGCCGAAGGAAACGGCCCCACGCCCACCTGCGGGTGCCACACCTGGAGGAGGTGCTGAGTCCCGTCACCACCCCCACAGATGAGGAGGTTGTGCATCGAATCAAGCACGTGGCAGGTATGGAATTGCCAGCAGGGAGCTGGGCTCTTCAGGGATTGTGATGGGATGGGGCCGGGCCAATCTGGGGGCCAGAGGTGGAGTGGGGCTGGGGGCTAGACCCCTCTTGGAGGTAGGGGTCCAATGGATCGCAGCCTGGGGTGCGATTGTTGGAGAGGGATTTGGGAATGTGGAGAGGATAGGAATTGAGCTCTTCCTAGGTCATAACTTAAATGCATGACAAAATGCTTCCCCTCAGGTTCCACGCAGACGCGGCATGTCCCTGAGGACAATTCTGGTGGCTTCCATCTGCAGAGCGTCTCCAAGCTGCTGGTCGTTATCAGCTGTGTGTGAGTGACTCCTTACGCCCTCCTGGCTTGCTCAGTCTCTCTCCTTGGGTTCTCCTGTCTCTGGGGGGAAGGGAGTGGGTTGGATAAAGAAAGAACCGGATAGGAGTCTGAGTCACGATGTTGAGATGTGGATCATTTCCAGCAGAAGCTGCCCAAAAAGCAAAAATCAAATACATTAACCTTTTAAAAAACACCTCATAAATGTTCCATGTGGTGTAGTTGAATTTTAGCTCTGGTCAAAGGTTTGGGTCAGCTCCTGCTGGAGATGATCCACATCTCAACATTGTGACTCAGACTGCTGTCCGGTTCTTTCTTTATTCAACCCACTCCCTTCCCCTCAGGCCTGACCTTGCCCTCAGCCAGGCAGAACCCTGCATTCCTACACATTCCTAGAAGTCCCGGGAGGTAACTCAGCTACAGAGTACGCTTTAAGAAAAGGAGTACTTGTGGCACCTTAGAGACTAACCAATTTACTTGAGCATAAGCTTTCGTGAGCTACAGCTCACTTCATCGGATGCATCCACTGAATGCATCCGATGAAGTGGGCTGTAGCTCACGAAAGCTTATGCTCAAATAAATTGGTTAGTCTCTAAGGTGCCACAAGTACTCCTTTTCTTTTTTGTGAATACAGACTAACACGGCTGCTACTCTGAAACCTGAGAGTACGCTTTGTTCACCAGAGTGCTGGGGAAAGGGCAGGCTGTGTCGGGAGGGGGAAATCTATAGTCGATGGAGGAAAAGCAGATGAGGGGCCAGAGAAATTAATATGAACATGAGACCCAATAAATAATGACTGAAGAGAAGGGATTGTAAATAACAGAAACATTTTTGGAAAGCAAGGAATAAAACAGCTTCTTTTTATTGCATCCAGGGTCTTGGTTTAGACATTTTGCAAATTAAGGATTTTGCACGAGTTATGCAGAGACTGTAATTTTTTTATTTACCTACTTGGTACCACATACAAACAACCTAGCAGTTCCCAGGACAGTGAAAATGTGGTGCATTTGTCATGCAAACTGTTATACTGGTAAAGGTAATGGTAAAGGTGCTACACTACGACAACAATGTGTTCAGTACATTGGTTTTTATTATATGTGACCAGTTGGTTTGCTACCTGTTTTTCTCTCATTACATTCCGAAGTGAAACCTTCTTGGCTACTTGCAAATATGTATGTTCTGGGTTCGGAAATTCCATCTTGGAAGGAAACCAGCCCATTAGGAAGAGATTTCTTAGAAGATAAAAAGTTGGGGGAGGGATGGGTGAGAACTGGGTGTGCTGGTACAATGGTTATAGCAGGCTATTAAGAATCAGTACTGCTGGGTTTTAGTCCTGTCTCTGCCACTTACTTCACAATGGCTACTACAGTGGTGGGCTCGTTACAAATGCACAGATGATCCAGATACGCTTGGTCTAGCTACAAGACTTCTTTTGGTCTCCATTTTACCCACCTGTAAAATGGGAGTCCTAATGTCTACCTGCCACCGAGGCTGTGGGGGAGGTTAATGCACTCATGTGTAAATGACTTTTTGGAGGAAAGGCACTGTACAGGTACCCAACAAAGTATTAATGATTTATTCATAGAATCATAGAATATAAGGGTTGGAAGGGACCCCAGAAGGTCATCTAGTCCAACCCCCTGCTCAAAGCAGGACCAATTCCCAGTTAAATCATCCCAGCCAGGGCTTTGTCAAGCCTGACCTTAAAAACCTCTAAGGAAGGAGATTCTACCACCTCCCTAGGTAACGCATTCCAGTGTTTCACCACCCTCTTAGTGAAAAAGTTTTTCCTAATATCCAATCTAAACCTCCCCCACTGCAGCTTGACCTGCAGAGAGGAAAATCTTCCTCGGGACTTACCCTCACTGCAGCATGATCCTAATAACAGAGGATCCGCTGAACCAGTTTGAATAAAGCAAAAACAACCCCAATCTTTTGCCCCAAACTCAACCAGCCTTTTCAGAGGTTGGGAAAATTTGAATTTACCATTTTAATTTTACTTTTTAATTTTACTTTTTAAATTGCTGTGCCTCTTTTTCTGCACTTCCCGATCCTGACTGAGATAAGGCTGGAGAAGCTTTCTCACAGAGCTTGTACATCTAGCAGCAAGCCAGATACTTCCTGCTGCATGTGCTCAGTAACTCTGGCACCATGGTAGGCATCTTCTGCTAGATGCACATTTGGCGGTGCTGCAGATATCTGCTGTTAGACTGACCTAGTGTATCTGGCAGCATGGCAGATGTTTGCTGCTGGACATTCCAGTACCTTCTCTACCAAAACACTTTCTGACGGATGGACCTGGCACATCCAATCGTTTTGATAAGAAAGCACAAAAAATCAATTTAGAATAATCCCTGTTCATAGGCTACCGGACAGCTGTCTGATTGGAAGGACTTAGAGGCTACCAATGCATCTGCTTCCAAACTGGTGCACTGGAGATCAAAGTGTTTGTAATATTTTCAGAATGCCAATGGCCATTAGCCAGAACCCTGTCCCAGAGAAATGGGGTTGGCCCACTGGTTCTGAGGCTGTGGAGATGTTCACAGACAGCCCCAAACACGGTAATTATAAAAGCCTCCCATCTTGGCTGGCATCTTTTATCTGAGCCGCTGATGCACCTAATAGATATAACGACCGCAAATGCCAGGTTGCGGCAACCTTGTATAAAGTCAGAGCAGTGGCTGGCATGCTGTGCTGTCAGGCTCCTCTCACACAGCTTGGTGCAAATAGAGAAAGAGGGGTTTGCAGCTTGAAATGTGAATTTATAATCCGAACAATACCATGTTCAGGTGCCCCGTGTGTGCTGCTCTGCAGGTACCACCCAACCTCTGCTGTGTAGCTTGGGAAGGAAGAGCATTGTCCTTAGAGAAACACCCATGCAGCTACCGTTTTCTTCCCTTCTCTCTCCTCCCTTTCCTTCCCTTCTGTGTACTATATGTATCCACCAGACATTCCTCCTATCCCTGTGCTGCTCTGTTTCTAACCTCTAGCTCCTCCATCTTTTCTCTTCCCTGCTCCCATTAGGATTTGTTTCAGGTACTGTCTCTTTTTTACCTCTTCACTCTTGTGTTTTTCACCTGCTTTTCTCAGTGTCCGATAGAACTCGTCACCCGCTGAGCTGGAATCCTAATGCACCAACCTTGGTCTGTATGTTGTGTGTTCTGATCTGTCAGTCTCCCCAATGCTCTGCCCTCAGTTGTGTTTAGTTCATGAAGTTCTGTCTTCGTCTCTTTCTCTCTCTCTCAATTAAAGTTTCTGGCCCTGGTCACCCAGTTCTTATTCAGGCAAAACTGCCACTGCCATCAGCTGACTAAGGCATCCAGGCCCCTGGGACCTTCGTGGCATTTTCTATGGTGGGATTTGAATGGTGTATATAGTCAGGGATGTTTCCACCAGTGTCTTTTTTCTCCTTCCCAGTCTGGTGCTGTTGGTAATTCTCAATATGATGCTGTTCTACAAACTTTGGATGTTGGAATACACCACCCAGACCCTCACCGCATGGCAGGGCCTGCGGCTACCGGAAAGGTAACTTTGCATTCATTTATCTTTGTCCCTCACTAACTATTACTTTGTGTGGACTTGGGTGGCTTTTCCAAAACTCCACAGTCCAGAGCTGCCCAGTTGCCTCTTTCCCAGCATTACACACAGAAGGAAAGATAAATTATTTGGGTTGGAACAAGCAACAAACAAGTGATGGTTACACTGGGAGAGCAGGGTGAGAATCAGGCCTTTCCTGCCACAGACTGTGCTAGATGAGTAGCACTCTCCAATGGCTACGGCACAGGGCAGAGAGCCAAGGGTCACCTGGTGCTTGTTTTTGGCTCTGAAAAGGGCGTGTGGTGTAATATGTAGAGGGAGTCAGGACTCCTGTGTTCCATTCCTGGCTTTGCTATTGACTCTCTTGTGTGACCTCAAGCAAGTATTGTTACCTCTCCCCTCTGTGGCTCAGTTTCCCTGTCTATAAAACGCAGTTAACAGTACCTACCTTACCTGGGTGCGGGTTGGGCGCTGCAGTGTATAATTAATTGAGTGCAGAGCATTGTGAGATCTTTGGACCAAGATACCCTGTTTGGGCATATCGTTAGTAAAGTGTGCGGGGAGGAAGAGGGGAATATGAGGAACTATCCACTAGTTTCACTGTGTTCCCCAAAAGTGCCAGAACTGAAGCAACTTAAAATGATCATTGATAAATTTTTCAAGAGACTTAGGAACATTGATTTGAATGAGACTTCATCTCCTAGGTGCCTTGGACATTTTTGAAAATGGGACAATCTCTTGAGACACTTGGATGCTTCTAAAAATATAACCCCTTAAAAGGAGAAGGTGGGGGCAGTAATATTTTTCAGCTTCTGTTGGTGAGAGAGACATGCTTTTGAGCTATAAAGAGCTCTTCAGGTCTGGGAAAGGTACTCAGAGTGTCACAGCTAAATATAAAATTGAACAAATAGTTTACCGTTAAGCAGTTAGCACATATTCTAAGGGCCCATTCCTCATCACCTGACCTATTAACATCCCTGTAGTCATAGGACATAAAGGGGAGTGAAGGGGTTACAGATTGTTGTAATAAGCCATAAATCCAGTGTCTTTATTAAGACCATGATTTTTAGTGTCTAGCAAAGTTACGAATTTAAGTTCTGAGGTTCGTCTTTTGAAAGTGTTGTGCACTTTTTTTGAGGATGAGGACTGATAGATCATATGTAGCGTGATCACTTGGAGAAAAATATTCACCCATATTTGTCTTTTATCATTTTCCTGTTTGAGTTCATTCGAGAGCGTAGTGATTGTCTGGTTTCACGCACGTAGTTGTTTGTGGATATTATGCATAGCTTGTCTCTCTCACAAACAGAAATTGGGCCAATAAAAGAATTACCTCACCCACCCTGTCTCTCTAATATCCTGGGACAGACACAGCTACAACACTGGATACATCTGGAAATGTTCATTTCAAAGCATCTTCACTGAGGATGAGGTTGGGCAGAGGTTTCCAAGGAAGACAATTTGTGGTGGGTGGAAGTTTTATGAATGAAGGAGTGCGGGAGGGTGGGGGGCACATTCTGGCTTTGAGGTGAATCGTCAATGACATCCTTTTACTCAGCAGCCAGGAACTCCCCTACATCAATCTTACCCCCTTGCTCCTCCAAAGCCAAACCATTTGTATTTTATGTGCACCTGGCAGGTTACCCCAGTCTCAGTCGGAATGGGCTCAGTTACTAGAATCTCAGCAGAAGTATCATGACACAGAGCTGCAGAAATGGCGTGAGATCATCAAATCCTCCGTGATGCTTCTAGACCAGGTAAGAACGGCATCCGCCAGCCACTTACCCCAGGAATTCCTATTACATGAAACTGGGTGGAACATTTCTACAGCCACCCTGCTGCCTGTCTAGATCCTTACCTACCCAGGCTGTCTCTAGCTGTCCCCACATGCACATCATGACCCTTCAGACCCATCTTCAAACAGGACTAGCACAAGCAGGTAAGCTTTGAAACCTTCAAAGCAATCATGAATTCCAGAGCTTCTCCTTGACCAAGTATCCTAGGCCAGACGGTGGATGTAGCATCAGGTCTGGAAGGCTTAGTGTTCACATCCCAGTTTGATCCACTCAGCTCTCCACAGTCCCATGGTAGAATAGACAAATTGACTCCCATGCAGCTTACTAAGTGCAGGTCTTCCACGTGAGACCTTAAAGATGGAGGGGATCTGCTCTGTGTGAGCATCAGAGATCCTTTAGTGTACTTTAGAGCAGGGGGATGATGTTTTTGAACACTTCCACCCTGCCCCTACCTGTTTGCTGGTTGGTATCCACCCTCCCCCACAGAGAGGGGGCTGTATGTACAGACTTTGCAGTTCGTAACATCTTTTGCTTCCAATATCATTTTAATAACGTGCCTCTGTCAGAAACCTATGTCCTAGCTGTCACTCTGTGTCACTCCATCTGCCTGGCTGGCAGTGCACCTCTCACTCCCTGCCGCTTCGAGCCCCGGCACTCTGGTACCAAGCCAAGGAGTGCAACAGGAACGCCTTCCGCTAGCCTGTGGCAGGGAGCCTAGGTTCAAAACGCCAGCGCCTCCAAGACTTTACAGCAGCCAAACGCTCAGGGTGGTTTTTGTCTTGCAGATGAAGGATTCACTAGTAAACCTTCAGAATGGCATCGGGTCGCGCGACTATGGGTCGGAACCAGAGGAGAAACGGAAGCGTTTCCACTAACAGGGGCGAACACAGGAGGCCAGAGGATTGTGTGCAATATGTGTATATAGACCATATAAATATATATATACAGAATATAAATATATATATATTATATACAGATTTTAAAAGAGGAAAAAAGCCTATGTACTGAGGAGGAGAAGCGTGGGTGCAGACCTCCAACACTGGCTGAACTGGAGCGTCTCTGGGGTAGGACTGGATGCGATGGTGGGGCTGTGCTTTCCCAGCACTGAGGCACTGTCCGGGAGAGTGCAGCTCTTGCTTACCTGTTCCCATGCACCTCTCTTCTGTGTATTCCTGGCTGTTTGTCTGTCTGTCTGTTTTAAAGGGAAGAATTGGCGCAAATGCCCCTCCCCCTCCCTGTCTGAGGGTATCTGAATGTTGAACAGGTATTTGAAGGGGACACTGTCAACTTTACCTTGCTCCATTGAGGACAAGAAGGATTTTGCTAGAAGACATGAGTCCCTTGTGAGAGTAGCCTACTGAATTGAGCAGGCTTTGACCCATGAGAATTCTCCAGGAAACTGTTCTCATTCAGTAGCAAATGGGGTTTGTTCTGAGCCCTCTGCGAGAATGCCATAGCAGGGGTGCAACTCGCCATTAAACTGGCCAGCCTAATTTTGCTGAGTGAAGCACAGAAACTGAACCAGGTTTTCCCAATGTAACATTTCACTTTTTATTACTAGAAGCTACATTAATGGCAAAGTAGAGGGGCGCTGACATGGGTTGTTACTCAGTATTCCTGGATAAATCCAGACCCTGGCGTATCTCATTTAAGTCAGTGAATTTGGCCCTTTGGTTCTTTACCACTTGACAATGTCCCCTTTACATACTCTGTTTTCCTCGACCCTCCATGCGTTTGCGTCCCTGTCAATAAGCCACTCCTGTGCTAAGGAGCTGCGGCTGTGCTGAAAGGGCCATCTGTGCTCACCTCCCAGTCAGAGGCATGTAAAGCTTAATGGCTCTGACTTGATACAACACCCTGTTGTTTTTTTTCTTGTTGCTCACTATTTTTAACCCTCCTTCTGCCAAAAAAGATGATAATAATAATAATAATAGTGGGCTAGGTGAGGGCATTTGGCATGTACCAGTATCGACTTAAATACATCTCACCTCTGGTGGAAACTCACAAGGAGAGAGAGCAGCTTCCTTTTAGAAAAAAAAAGAAACCACAATTGCAATTAAACGGATTGAACAGATCTGTATCAGGAAGCCACGCACCCTCCCATTGCATCGCTGATCCCTGGAGATGTTAGAAGTGGGGTGGAAGAAAGGACGAGCCACACAGGTAATTGTCATTCATAGAAAGAAGGCTGTAAATGGGGCAAGTTTTGGTGCGTTTCCTGCTGCATTGCAGTGAACCTTTTTAGAATAAGAGTGGACCAGGGTTATCAGAAGTGGCAGCTACAGGGGCATTCACGCAGCAGGCAGCTCAGGCTGCAGAGGTGTGGTGCCGGGTAAATGTTGCATTTGTATTTATTTTTAAAAGTAATTTAAAATGATTAATTTTTAATGGTCGGGAATTTTAGCCTGGCAGAGGTCAAGAGAGGAAGCCTCAGGGTATGTAACATACTGGGCTCGGCATGTTAGCTGGGCAGCTGGTGAGATGTCCGTCTAGGTTTGAATCCCACAGCAGGTGGGCCATGTTTTCTTTTGTCTTGGAGGAGCAGGAGAGGGACACAGTGAAGTTGCTGGGGCCTTGAAAATGCCATACCTGAGCCCATTGCTCTTGAGCAAGCTCCGGTGACTGGAGGAGACGAGAAGCAAGGGCAAAGGTGTAGGCATTATTATTGGACACACTAAACAAATGGGAACCCAATGCGGGTAGAGCCTGATCCTGAGGTACTGAGCACACACAAGTCACACTGACATCAGAAGGACACTATGCCTTTATGTTGTGCTTTGCAAAACTGGATGAGTATCATTGTACTTACTTACAGATGGGAAAACTGAATGACAGAGTGGTCACATGAGGTGTTTCAGTAGTCGAGCCAGGAGTACAACCCCATGTCATCAGTCCGATGCACTAACCCACGCTGCAGGCGATCAGCAGCTCTCAGGATCAAGCTCTAACAGTGGCACATCCCTTTGCGTGGCGAAAGGATAGAGGGGATTTGCGGTGGTGACTAACATGCTTCCCCATCTTGCCTTACCAGGTGGATTAGTTGGTCTATGGACCCTCTATCTCCACCGTCTCTGACTCTGGAAGGATTTTTTGAAGCAGGCGAGATCACCTGACACAGCCCTGTTTAGGGGTAGTATTGAGTACTGGATGATCTAGCAGGTCTGTTTCATCTCTAGCTTCTGCGTGCGCTGAAAAAGCAAGGTGAGCAACTGGCCCTTCCTACACCATATGGCACTGGCCTACGCAGCTCTAGAAGGAGTTTGACTAAGCCATTTATCCACACACTCCTCCTGAAAATGTGCTAGCTGCCTAGTTTGTCTGGAGAAGTACTGAAGCTCTTTGTGGGGCTTGTTGGTGTCTTGCATGACTGGGACTCTTAAATTCAAACCATAACTATCTTAGCAGACTGCCCGAGAAGGGGGAGAAAGACAAGGCAAAGGACTGTAGACAAAAACATGCCCAAAAACCTAGGGAATGTTCTGCTTTATATAATTTATTGTATTTATGCTTATTTATTTAACTTAATGCTGCTTAAAACTGTACGTCTCCCTGGCATTTCCTGCCGGAGTTAGAAGCTGCTGCTGAAATGGGCAATGTAGAGTGAGCCTGAGCCCCTAGCACTGAGGAAAGAAGAGACCAAGGCTGGAAGTTGAGGTGGGGCAGTGCCCCCCTGCTGTGATGAGGCTGGGTTTGTGTCCTGCTGCTGTTCTAAGGACAGACGAGCCCAAACTCACTGGTGGGATCCAGGACCCTGGCTAAGGAAGGTTTTCATTTCTCTGTTACTATGGGTCTAGTTTTGATCAAGAGCCACAGCTTCCCTGGAAGAGTCTATTCCATCCAGCAGATCACAGGCCTACCCAACCTTGTGCTGCTATAGTTAAGCTACTGCAGAGTACTGTGTATTAATTCATAACCAGTTTCAAACTGGTACAAAATGGTGTATCTTGAGCCTGCAAATTTGCAAGCTAGCCGTTAAGAGTGTCTACACATGCAGAGACACCAGTTTAACATCCTATTGTTAGTGAAATCAGTGCAACTGTACATATAGAGAAGCCCTTAGTCTCAGGAAGCTTTTCCTGGTCCACTGGCAACAATTCCTCTCTGGCTTTCAGCTACGTGTACCCTTTGTTGTCTCTTAGCTCTGCTTATCTAGCCTTTTTAAACTCAGACCCTCATCCTTTGCTTCTCTGCCCCAAGTGCTGTGAAGAAAAAAAACCCATTTCTTTGCCTCCCACATTCGGGGTTGAAGTAGATTATTTAATGTCGATAAGGAGCCAGAACTGACCCACACAAATAGCCTGGGATTAAAGAAGACTGAGAGTTAGGTACCCAAATCCTATTGCAGTTCAATGGGAGTTGGGTGCCTAACTATTTTAGGGTCTTTTGAAAATTCCAGCCTGAGGTGTGCTTATGGTTAAAAGTTTTTTTGATAATCTAGCGGAGGTTTCTAGTGGTAAAATGGAGACAGAGATAAATGGAAGGGAGGATACTGTAAGTACAGCTGAGGTGAAGGTTAGTTTTCACCCTGGGCTTTTCTCTCTGAGGCTCACCCTTTTTGACCAACCCTGAACACACGGGCAGACACATTTATTGTGGTGCTGACCTGTGTAGGGGAGGATCGTTTGGCACTCTGCCCCGACAGGCCCTCGTCCTTCCACTGTGAGTAACCAATCGGGTTCACAGGCAGAACAGTTTGGTTCGATTTTCAGTGTCTGACCAATTGTGAAATAGATTTTAAAAGGGTTTATCCTTCCACTCCACTCCCCTTTGTGCTGCAGCTAAAGCACCTGCCAGATACAACGTAAATAGCGAATGGCCTAAATAGTGCTGTGTGAGATGCTGCAGTGTTGGAGGGAGGGATAGAAGGGCAGATTGTCTGGGACACTGATTCTCAGCTCTAATCTTTCCGTATGTGGAGAAAGGAGGAGTTTCCTTGCTAAGCTCAGTTTTCAAACTTGGCTGCCTAAATTAGGTACCAACATTCTGCCCATTGGTGCTTACCTGAAAAGGAGTATTTTGGGCTGTAGTGTCCATACAGTGCCTGTGTTTGAAAACTAGGATCTAGTTACATAAACTCAAGACTTACTCCTTTGTAAAACAGACATCATCCTAAGGTAAGTGTGCAGTTCAGGTGTGGGCAAACGGGGCGGGGGAGGAAGAGGAGCAGGCAAACAAATACTCTGACTCATTTCAAAACTGTGGCATTAGTGGGAATGCTGTGTTCCTGTTAGAGTGGGGTGGAGAAAGAATGGAAACCATTTCAGCCTGTGTACTTGACTATAAAGCAACCATGCTTTTGGAAGGGTTCTAGACTTAATGTATAGTACAAGCCACCCATTAGCTGGGAAGAATCATGATTAAAAAATGGGTTTAAAATACAGACAAGCAAAAATAAAAAGAATCAAGGTCACAAAACCTGAACCACAATTTTGAAATCAGCGTACATAGTAAGTAAATATTTTAATCTTGGTCTGTAGTTGTGAATGTCAATATCTAACCCTGACAGGAATGCTCCAGCTTTGACTACTTCGCTCTCTGGTAAAGCTGATTGCATGGTTAAATCGCACATGCCAATTTGAAAGCAGTTTCCGATCTAAGATCTCTCTCACTCAGTCTGTCTACACCAGAGCTGTAATTTCTAGCTCAAGTAGATATGCCCGTGTTACCTTGATCAGAGGTAGTGCAGGTATGACTACCCGAGCTGGAAATTACATCTCCACTTCAGACAAAATCTGTGGGCAGAAGGGGTGCATCTCTACTAGGGTATAACCTTATACCCAAATTTAATTTTTAATGCAGAGTTTAAAAGGAAGAGATGGTTTTTGCTGCAGGCATAATGCATTGGCTTTACTGAGCCCTAACCTGAAAGCTACTTGGTGGAAATAATGCTTGTGTCACCAGCAGCAGCCTTTAAATGGACCCATTTTCCCATCCTAAATATAAACAAATAGTCAGGTAGAGTAAGCCAAATGCTTCTCTCATTTAGAGCCAGGCAATTATATGGATTCAAAGATTTACTTAGGTGTAAAGGGGACAGTTCAGCCTAATATTTCCTCTTAATGTATGTGCTTAGTGGTTCAACAGCTAATTTTCCTAACCTATGTTTTTAGGAGTGGGGGGGTTGTTACAAATGGACAGCTGCAGTCAAGACCATAACCCCAGTTGGCTGATGTGCACTGCAGGACATTTTGTGAGGGGTCTGCAGTGATTCCCACGCAAGTAAAGAGGCAGGTCCAGCTCCTCATTGGAATGAAAGCAGTGATAGAACTGGATGTGGGTCAGGTAAGCATCTAAGAGATTGGCAGCCCTCCAAACTGCTGGAGTGTGTTGAGTTGGCACGAATTCTCACAAAAATAGCCTCTCCCAGGGTGTGGCTCCTTTGCATCCAGTGTTGGCTAGAAACTTGAAGCACAACACCATGAACACTTACAGCATTGCCTTCAACTCATTCCCACTCTAGCTTCTCAGAACAGATGTGTGCTGCGATGCTGAGGCGGAGTGGGGGCGAACACTGGATACAATGGCAACCCTCCGTCTAAATTTCTGTGCATTAGAATGCTAATTACACAGGAGAGGATTCCTTTCCTACCAGTACCTAGGAGCAGGGCACTCTCCCCTCTCCTACAGGCTCAGAGTCCATTCCTCTTCATGGTAGATTTGTGTTCCAGGGCTTGGACACTCATCACCTGCCATGCAGCTAGCAGTACCAGAATGGAGAAGAGTTGGAGCAGGGCAGACTTTGGCTTTTCCATCAATCAGCACTGGAGTGTGGAATTAGAGGAAATCTCTTCTCTCCAAATCCAGCCCAAAGCTAAAAAGGCTAGTGTTTCTCTCACCAAACAAGCTGTTAAGTAGAGGTTAGTGTTGAGCATTTCAGAGGGTCAGTGTCTTTCACCTTCGCCCCAGGCCCAGCCGTCTCCAAGTGCTGCTGGAAAGAGTAGGGATACCTGAGGGGTGATCAGCTCTGTCCTCTTTGCCTTTTTGGGGACCCATCCAGAAGAGATGGGCTTTTCCCCCTGCTCGTCACAGGCTGAGGGTGGGGTTGTCTACCTATGAGATTCTAGTCATCTTGAGCGTGTGTCTTTCCAGTTGAGTTGTAGGCAGGTTATGAACATCCCGTGATAATTTGTACCAGCTTTGAGGGCAAGGTCTTAACTGATGATTGACAGGAAAAAAGCACAGGCACTGCATGCTCCATAGCTCACGCCCCTTCCACATGCATCCAGAACCAGCCTTCTCCAGAGAATACTTCAGTACCCTCGAGGAAGGGCCTTGTTCCTTGCAGTAACTATTCTACGAGGCAGCGTTCTGGGCGCCTTACTGTAGAATTCTGCTGTATATTTTTGTCAGCGAAGCTGCTCTTCCTTTCACCCCCCTCAAACCCTGCATGCATCCTCTGTGGGTTTCATGTATTTCAGGCAGCTTGCAAGCCATTAAGTGCTGATTTGCTACCACAGATGGCTTCTTGGTGTGGTAGAATGTGAGGTCTTGAGAAGCGGGAGGGCCCTGGGTGTGAAATTACTGCCATGTTCTTCTTTAAACGAGACTGTAGGTGGAAACCCCTAGACCAAAGTGTCTGGAATAACTAGTCTGAGAAATGACTACTGTGATGTAGTGTTTGCAGGAGAGAACTGTACTGAACATTCCTGCCCTGTCTCAGTCTGCTTGCAGTTTCTAAAGCATAGGTGAATCTTTTGTGCCATAACATGCTTTTTTCTAGATGTGCAAACCAGCCAAAATGGGGATACTCTCCCCCTCCACTTGCTCAGCCCTAGCTGAACATTCCCTTAGCTACACAAGGAGAGCTAGCCCCCAAAACACATTTTGTAGCTACAGTGCTTGTAGGGCTCCATTTTCTCCCCTCCCTCACCTCTCTGCTGCAGGACAATCACCTCTTTTCTATCCTAATCTCCCTCTGTCTGAGATGGACTGCCCTGCTGGCCATTCCTTGCAGCAGTTTGTGTTATGCTATGAAAGGAATGTGTTTTATTTTGGTGGGGAAGGACTTTCCTTCTGGTGAAGGAATTGTATTTGCACATGGCTCAGGGAGGCTCCTCCTCCTCTGACAATTGTTACCTCACTCATTTTGGTCAGTTTCATTGCTAACATTAAAGGGCCAGCTTCTTGAATCTGATCTTTTGAGTTACAAGAAAGCAGCATCCAGAGCTGTGTAGGCATGTTCTTTTTCCAAGCGCCATCTAATTTGCCCTAGCAGCACTTGAATGTGGGAGACTGGTGGCTGCTGCTGCTAAGAAACAGCACCTTTATTCAGCAAAAGGATGGAGCTTGTGCCACATCTGTATCATTCCTGCCTGGGAGCCCACATGTCTCCCTCCAACACTTAACAGAACAAACATGGAAGCACCAACCTGCACTCTTGCTACCGTACATTAATGGCACTTTTGCAATGTTACGAGTAGGTTGCAATGTGTTATTTTTTCCACGGCTCACACTTCAAATGCTCCATGGCCAAGTAGTGCTGCTACATTCCTGGACTACCTTTCCCCACACAAGGGCCTGGATCCTGCAACCCTGACTCAGGTGAGTAATCCTTACTCTTTCAAATAATCCCATTTGAGTAAGGATTGACTCACATCAACGAGAGTGGGTTGTACGATCATCCCCAAGGTGGGCATTTCCCCTCTGAGTAGTAACTCTAAACTGGGAGGGAGAGATACAGGCCAAGACTCACCTCTTTCTTGTTGAATGGTCTGTGGTAGTAACACAAACTCTGGGGCTGGGCCAAATACAAAAAGGAACAGCAGTTGTGTTTTGAGACGTTGTCTGGTTAACTGTAATAAACTTTGCGCTGTGCGCAAGGTGTGATAAAAAGATACTTACCTGCTAGGAAACTAGGAACTATAAAGGCTACATAGCCAAATCTCAATGTAAAGTAGCTAGAACAATGGAAGATACATTATGAATAAAAAAAAGTATTGAACAAACAGAGCAACTTGAGTGTATTGTTTTTTTTTTATTGTCCTACCTAATTGTAAGTCTCCTATTTCCATATACACAGAGGGGTCTTTCCTGATGCGGGGGGTTGGGGGGGGAGGAGAGAAGAGAATCATCCTCCCAGAAGACACATTATCTTTGATTGTGCCTTGAGGCAATACCATCTCATTCCTGCCTCCCCCACCCCTTTTCAATCAGAAGATAGGGAGTCCTAATACAGCTTCCCCAAAAAATAAGTTCCCCCTATCAAAAAATACTTAAGGTAGCAGTGTCTATCTATAGGAGCACTTCACAAATTACAGGGTAAAGACACACACAAGAGCATCTGGTTAGTTTAGAAAATCAGAAGGGGGTGGGGAATAAAACGTGGCCCTTCATTTACTCTAAGGGGGCTGCCATGGAGCTTTAACAAATGGAGGTTAAGTGACTTGCCTCACGTCCCACTACACAGGGAGTGGGAGAGTCAAGCATGGAATCCTGGAGTCATGACACGCTTCCTCTGCTCTAGCTTCTACTGTTATGGTTTGAGGGTTAGTATTCCTCCCATAGTATTTTAGGCTGAATAAGATGGCCTAGGGAAAGGGAAAAAAACCCACACACTTCCAACAACCTAAATAAGGGAGGTTCTTCCTCCATTTTAAACACTGGCTTCTAAGAAACCAGTGCCCAGTCTAAGGCATTGCTGATGGAGCATACTTAATCTATAGATGGGCTCAAGCTGTAAGCCTGGGATCTGGTGTCAGACACCCTGTGGGTCAGGTCTGTTTGGAACTGGGTTTTAGATTTACAAAAATCAGCGTATTCTGCAGCTCCTGATCCTAGTTGGGTCTAGGAATAACTACCACCTACAACTCTGGTTTGGACCTGTCTAACTTTAAAAATCACAACACAATTTATGCGTAACAAAGCAGAGGAATTCCATATGCAGAAAGCATGTCTAACTCAGTGAGTGCTTTATCTGTTTAGGAGCAAAGTGTAGCAGATTCATCTTAACTCTTGCAAGCTGTAAAAAGAGTCATTGCAGCAGGGGATATATCTGCTAAAAGCAAGAACTCCAAGTCATTCAGCAGCATCTCACCCTCATGTGCCACTTCTACATATAGACAAATGCTTTCCCCAATAATCTCAGATTCTAAGACTACTGCTTCTCTGAATGGGAAACTTCAATCACCATGCTTCAATATTTTACATTTAATAAAGCCAAAACCCCCACCTTGCTATTGTATCTGCAATTGTTTATATACTGTGTTTATAAATGAAACTTAGAGAATTGCTCTGCAATAATAGATATCAGACTAACTCTGAGTATTCAGCATGGTGAATAATTACCACAAGAAATAATGCATTATTAAGGGCTATAGGAGAAAACCACCACTGTTTGCTTCTAGGTGGTGCAACTATCCAACCATGACTTTCAATTAGTTATAAAAAGTTCCACAAAATTCCAAAGCTGTCTCATTTTCCCATTTGGGAATAAACAGTCAGTTTCATTTGCTTGCTTACCTAACCCAGACTCTCTCTCCTCCCTTCAGGGGCTCCAGCCTTTAACTTTCTTCCTGAAATTGGCAAAGTGTCCTCAAATGGGAGTATCGTCTCCCAGGGCTGCTCTCCTCTGGTTGTTGCAAGACACAGTTTGCTTATCATGGAAATAACCAGTCTCAACAAGTTAACAGAGCAAGGTTAAGAGAGACAGAACTGACAAACAGTTGCCAAATTAAACAAACATCACTTCTTGGAATTGTTGCAGTTTATAGCAGGGAATCCTAAATTAGCAGTGGTACAGCCTGAGGGCATGGCTATTCAGGCTTGGCATGCAGCAAGCTGGACCTTAAATCTACATCACCATTAGCTTGCCTCCTGCTAACTGGCTGCGTAAATCCTGCTACCATGAGCTAAATGTTCTGGAGGTCAAAGCACACTATGGAATTTGTATTATGCAGGAGCAGGGTGTGCACAGCAAGCTTGTGTATGTCGATTGCTGCCCACTAATTCCCTGCATGCGGAGTGCTGTTGTACATTTTTCACAGCTCTAAGTTGCTATGAGCCTTCTGCTTCTCCATATCCTTGTCCTAGGTTTGCAACAGCAGCCTACAGTCCAGGGCAGCATGGAGAGCAAGCATTTGAATGAGAGAGAGCAAGCATTGGGGTGGAGTGGGATTCTATTCTTTAATAATTAAAGTGTTCAGGCTTTATCAAAAGGTTGATCACAATGCTAAAATGACCTTGCTGATGGCCAGGTATGTCAGGGTAATATGACAGACCCACGTGCTACATGCCAAATTAGCTTATTTTGCAAAGGAATATGGTGAGGGTAATACATTGTAGAATTTACAAGGCCATTCGCTGAGTGGGGGCAAAACTTAGGAAGGAGCAGTGCCACCTGAACCCCAACCCCCTTTGCTCAGCGTGCTTCAAAGGAGAATCCTTTAGCAAATGGAGTCATGGAGCCAAAGTCAAGGCTGTGCAATGTCCAAGGCAAATGGAAGAAAGTTCACACTTTCCCTTATTTCCTTCTGGTGCCGTAGAGTTCTCCCAAACCTGGCTGGAGTGACTTGGTCCTTCCAACTTCAGAGTTCCTGCAAGGAACAGAATCCCCCCCCCTTGTGATTAAGGCTTCCTTATAAGAGGCATGGTCTTGTGTACCATGATAAGAGGTTACTTCTGCTCACAGCACCTGAGAATCTGCACAGACAACTGCATTGTTAAAAATGCAATAGTGCGTGCAATCAAACACAGAGATGGGGCTTAGAGTTCTAAACTTTTCCTCTGAGTCTTACATCTGAAAATAGAAATACTGCAGCATCTTTTGGAAATAGCAAGGGGGAAGCAACGTTTACAAAACACTTCTGAAATAGCAACTGTTTTGTTTTTGTTTTAATTGGGGAGAGATGGTCAGGGTAGCATAAACCACACCCAATGAGCAACCAGAGCCAGACCTCAGTTCCCTGGGGACCTAGGATGCATTAGAAAAATGCCTACAAAGTGTGAAGGGCTGGACTATGGACAGCAGTAAAGGAAGAATGGTTCAGCACTAGTGTGGGATTCTGGATTAACTGGCTGAAATGTGGAGATGGTTATTGGCAGATTGGCGTTCTTGACAATTTTTGCATTTCCTTTCAGGAACGCTGTATTTTGGTGTTTCTGAAACAAAATTTTCAGGGAACTCCAATTTGCTGGGAAATGTTGGTAAATCTCTTTGGCTCTCTTTCTGACTGAGAATCCAATTTCACTTAGCAGAGATCCCAAGGCTCCTACAGAGCAGGGAGCTTGCCACCCCTGAGAGGCCCAGCTTCAGCTGTGTTTCACTGGAAAATTGCTAAGCAGCTCTACAGTGGAGACGGGGTCCAATTCCCTGCCTTACTATAGGCTTGAGCGAGTCTCTGCCTCAGTTTCCCTATCTGTAACATGGAGCCCTGCCCTGCTTCACAGGGTGTGTGAGGAGAAATATATTAGTGCCCAGCTACTGCGGGGCACACTGTCTATGATACTGACATTCCTGGCAGAACAAGGCTAAGGCAAATCTGTGTCTTTTGCCATTAAGATTTTAAAAATAATCTTAATGCACCCATAAGCTATACATGGGTAACTGCTTCAAGGGCCATGGTGGAAGTGTCGGACACAAAGCAAGCCTGGGATGCATAGCTTCCCACCCCTCATTTCTCCAGGACTTTTGTCAGGATGACATAACCATCCCATTTTATTGCACCTCTCCCCGGTGGTTTTAGGGTGTCCCATAAGTCAGGGAGCAGAATCAGCCATGTGCACAATGCACTGGCCACACCCTTGTTTTGAATCAAGTTTGTGTACCTTATTGCAGGTCATGGCCCATCTACCCTTGGCTACTCCTCCACAGGCACAGAGCAGTTTTCCTTGTTTTCCGACGGAATGGCGAGGTAGTCAGTCCTACAGATCGAAAGAGAATGCTCACCACAGGTAGAGAGCCCTGGGTGGGTGCTAGCTGCAAGCACAAGCTGCATTGCTTCAGTGGTAGCACCTGTTGAGAGTTGGCATCCTTTGAACATCCTGATTTTGAGGCACTGAGCACCTATAACATGTTAGCCCTTAACTGCCCTTGGCTGAGTAAAGCGCAGCGTGACGCTCACTGCAGAGAATGCCCCTTCCAAAAGAGTTTTTGGTGTGCTCCTTCCTCAAGGGCAGGTATGGAGTTTGACCCAAGATAGAGTGGTAGGAATATCCTCTCCCCACTCCCACTGCACACACAAAGGGCCTGGTTATCTGACAGACATATGGAGGAGGGAAACGTACAGTGTAGAAAGTGGAACCACCCCCACGTGTGTCATATTGGAACTGTTTTTGCCTCAGTCTTTAAAAACTGTGTGTGAGGCTTATGGTCATGAGCTAGGCATAGTGCAGGTAGGTCCTGAGAAAGTCTCCCCTACCCCTTCTGACAAGGTGCCTTACAATACCCCAGCTATGCACAGCTTGGCCAACATGCCTTCACTCTGAGTTGTAACGCTGTTCCTTGCTAACCTAGTCTAACCTCTCTCAGGAGAGGCTCAATCCTGCTACCTTTCTTTCACAAGGATTCCAAGATGCGGCAACAGAAATGAATACAAGATCGAAATGTTTTTAATGGTGGCCAATCCCCTGGTGAACCCTCTGACCCACACCTCAGGTTTTTCTGCTGCAGGTGAAACGCTTGCTCAGGTGTGGAGGTCTGTAGGATTTTTACTTACGCATTTTCCTGGACAGTCTCCTCTGCTTTGGAAACCTTCCTGTAGCAATAGACCATTTCTATCAGCAGCCACAAGGTGAGGAAAACCAGGAGAATATACATCATAATTTCAGATATGACGGATGTGAAATCTTCTCCAGCTGTTGGGGAAACAATTAAAATAAGTCACTGATCTCTTTGAAATTCAATTTTGTATTGCACCATCCTCTAAGAACCAGCCCTCTCCTCTTTTCACCTAGATAGAGTTCCCGGCAAGAATGAGCAACAGAAGATACAGGGACTGTCAGCTTAAGCACCTCTCTTATTGGAACTATGGCCAGCAGGCTCGGAGTCTGCTGCAGAAAATGGGGGCAGGGTCTCCACTGCCATTTGAATGAGTAGCTCGGAAGCAGCTTAGGAAGCTGTAGCTAAATGAAGACAGAGCCTGCCAATACAGTTGCATGTCACCTTGAACTGCAGCACCTGCGCAGAGGTCTTCTGCGCCTATCCCCAAACCAGCTGCCGGAAGTGGAGGAAGAATCTCAACCTGGTCTGAGAGGGGCAGGGTTTGGATATAGGGAGACTTCCATCAGCTGTTTCACCCTGCATGCTTGTGAAAATATACATGTGCTCAAGCTTGCCACTAATTCCAATCATGTTCTCCTCAGAGCACACACATGGATGCATGTGCACCCCAATTTTAGCCCATCTTATCCTGGATGCTTATTTGTTTCCATGGTGCTCTATTTTTCCAATCCCTGATGCATTGCTAGATGTCCTGCACAGTAATGAGGCGACCACTAGAAATTACAGAATCAAGAGGCTTTTAATGGTGGCCAAGAAATAGCAGGACTTGGAGGGGAGAAGGGAAAGAGATTCACAATGAAGACAGATAGGGGGTGGAAATCCTGGCCCACTGAAGTCAGTGACACCACTCCTACTGCGGTAGAGTGTGGCCAGCATTTTAGTGATTGAGGGGGAAAAGGCACGTGAAGAATAGAAGAGGAATGCACAGTTGGAAGCAGGAAAGAAACAGACAGAGATTGAGAGCAATCACACGGTGGGGGGAGGGAGGGAAGCCATCACCAGTTCGTCAACTGCACTGCTGCTTCTCCCTGCTAGAACTGAGAGCCACAAGGGAGTGGTGTGTGCACTGAACTGGACCACAGGAAGCCCACTGCACTCCCTGCTTTGGTTCCCCTGCCCAGGAGCTGCTGGGGGAGCCCAGCTTGTTTTTACACCTTTCAGGACACATTTGAGCTCCACAACGGGGAATACAGCCAGCACAACAGGTGCAGGGTTTCATATGTGAGCCTGGGTCAGTCCTGTTGTAGGAAAGCGTGGCTGGGGAAACAGAAGTATCTGCAAATGACCTATTAGTTGGCAGCTTCCCCACCCCTCACCAGGGATACCACTGAAAAGAGCACTGTCTGGTTTGCTCTAGACTTGGTCCTTGGCAAGGCAGGTCACACCCAACAGTTCAAGGCATTTCCACCAGTCTTCCATACCCTCCTCTACCACAGTGAGATGGATCAATCTGGAGCTTGTGAAGAGTGGGTGATGAATCTCAAAGTCAAACTCCCGAGTGACATTACACGTGTAGATCCCTGAATCATTCAAAGTCACATTTAATACAGTGATGGACACGTCCTGCATATCTTTGCTCCCGTTCCACTGTAGCCGGCCACTGAAGCGGCTTGGAAATTCATGGTGTACTTTTCTGTATTCATAGATCTGTAGAGAAATGGGGGCCAGGGGGGAGATAAACATTAGTCACCCAGCCATTTCATAGAATCATAGAATATCAGGGTTGGAAGGGACCCCTGAAGGTCATCTAGTCCAACCCCCTGCTCGAAGCAGGACCTATTCCCAGTTAAATCATCCCAGCCAGGGCTTTGTCAAGCCTGACCTTAAAAACCTCTAAGGAAGGAGATTCTACCACCTCCCTAGGTAACGCATTCCAGTGTTTCACCACCCTCTTAATGAAAAAGTTTTTCCTAATATCCAATCTAAACCTCCCCCACTGCAACTTGAGACCATTACTCCTCGTTCTGTCATCTGCTACCATTGAGAACAGTCTAGAGCCATCCTCTTTGGAACCCCCTTTCAGGTAGTTGAAAGCAGCTATCAAATCCCCCCTCATTCTTCTCTTCTGCAGGCTAAACAATCCCAGCTCCCTCAGCCTCTCCTCATAACTCATGTGTTCTAGACCCCTAATCATTTTTGTTGCCCTTCGCTGGACTCTCTCCAATTTCTCCACATCCTTCTTGTAGTGTGGGGCCCAAAACTGGACACAGTACTCCAGATGAGGCCTCACCAATGTCAAGGGTGCATCCTACTCCCCACCCTAGGATTCCCCTCTAGCTAGTGACAGATCCCAACTATCAGATGGTTTAGAGTTTCTCTTCCTGAAGCATTAGGTATTAATACTTCTATAGTGCTCTTCATCTGAAGATCTCAAAACACTATACAAAGAGGGCATATGGAATTATGTCCATTATACAGGTGAGGGAAAGGAGGCACCAATAGGCAAAGTGACTTGTCCAAGATCAAAGCAGGTCAGAGGCAGGAATGGAACCCTTATCTCCCAGGCTAGTGCTTAATCCATTGAATCATGCTACCATGTTACATACAAACAAGTGTTTATAAGCACTGGAAATTGTAGTCCAAACAGAGGTGTTGCAAGAGAAAACAAAAAGTGTGGTATGATAAATGTAATGACTTATTTACACAGCCATGGGCATTGGAGGCCTTATCTTCACCCTGCTCTGAACTGGGCCTCCCTTTCTTCACTCTCAGCTTTATGAGCTTAAGTTGTTCTGCACTTGAGGTCATTTTGAGGACTTGGTGTATCCATAGAGCAGGTACTTGTGTGTCTAATTGTCCTGACTTGTGCCCACAAATAATTGTGGATGCAAAACTGTACCTGCTACTATTTGCACCCACAAGAAAGGAGGCAAGTGTTTACAAATCAGATTCAGATCCTCTACGGACAGGCATATGGACTGCCTATTAGAAGCATGTGAGAAGCTCTGTGCAGTGGTTTAGGAGGTTGGTGACCCTCTGAGTCCCTAGTGGACAGCAGTCTATGCCATTAAAACACCCTGAATCACACTCATTTGTGTACTCAGGAGGTAGGCCAATCCTGAATTCCCCTCATCTTTCAAAGAGGTCCCTCCAGATCAGAGCTCAAAAAAGTGGGGACGTATTTGGAACTTGCTATGCCACTAGCTTGGTTTTCTGGATGACCCAGACTTTAATTCTTCATATGAACATATGAAAATATGAAAGAGCTGCATATTTTCAGCCCTCCAAGTGCTCAGGACTAAGAAATAGGTGGCTTCTTTTCCAGGATATCCACATGCATCTATTTTAACTTATTTAGAAGGAGAGTTTCAACATCCTCCCAGACAGAATTCAAAGGAGCACACAGAGATATTCAAGAAGCACAGTTAGACTCAAATGATGGAGTAACTTTCATAAGGATGTCACTGTGCCATCATCATTAAAAGGGCAGGTGACAGAGCTATGTAGCGCTAAAGCCTGATCTCAATGAATAAAATGGCTATAATTCCATGGACTTCAATGGGACAAGGTTTGCTTATAGAGAAGCATCGTTTGGCATGAAGGCGAGATCTCTGGGTTAAATTCTGAGATCAGGAATTAGGACTCAGGTTCTATTCCTGGTTCTGACATGGCTTTCATAAGTCTCAAAATTTATATTGAGACGGTTCAGCCAGCTAACTGGCACATCGTAGAACAACAAGTTGTGGCAGTCCATCCTCCTATCCAACCATGCATGCCCCGCCCCTGTTTGGCAGTGTGCAGCGCTACCCTGAAGTCAAATGGTGACGTTTGAGCAAAGACAAGTTACTGTATTGTGGCTGCTGCTCTGGCAGTCTCAGTCAGCAGCCTGTCTAGGCTTTCCTAGTGTAGGATCTGGGTCCTGGGCGAAACATGGCTGCTGCCTTCTCCTGTAATTAGGGTAAAGCAAAACAAAATTAGGCAAAATGCACAATGTGGCACTCTGCCACTGACCAACTCTATAACTTTGGGCAAGTCAGTTCACATTTGGGTGCCTGTTTTCCCCTCACCCTTCAGCTGCCTTATCTATTTAGGCTGTAAATTCTTTGGGAAAGGGCCTGTGTCTTACTAGGTGCATGTACAGCACCTTGCACAACATGGTGTCTTGAACACAGCTGGGCCTTCTGAGTGCTGCTGCAGGACAAATAATCACCACTGATCCATACATTGAGTTGTTAGGGGGAGATAGTTACAAGAATGTGTGTCAAGTGCTTTGATCTCTGGGTGAGAAGTGCCATATAAATGAAACCACTGTAGGGCAAGGGTGAAGTTAAATAACTTAAGGAGCATTGTCATCTTTATTGTGTGAGTGGCCTCTGGACATTTCAGTCTTCCTCAAATCAACCTTCAGATGTGACACATAGATATAACCCAAATTACACTTGCTTTTCTTAGTTTCCTTGTGTGACCTTCACTGAAAACATACTACAGAAACAAAGTTCACGTTCTCCCAGGGCTTTTTACCTCCCTCCCCCCATACCATCCCTGGGGTTTTTCCCCAACACTAGGGGCTATGGTAGCATGAGTTAGGTTAGCAAATATACATACCAGCTCATCTTTCCCCCCTTCAGTCTTGTAGAACCATTCCACCACAGTGCTTGCAGAAACTTCTTCTCTTTTCATGCAGGAGATACAGAGCAGCTTCATGTGAGTTCCTTGGACAGCCTCTGTCTCTGATGGGACTTCCACACAGACTGGAGAACAGACACCAACTGAGACCATGGGGACAGAATAGCAGCAAGTGGAGAGAAACATCCAGAGAGACACAGAGAAAAAACAAATGATCAGTTATTCAGGTCTCTTATTATAGACTGTGCCAAGACAGACAATGTTCATAAGGTGGGTCTTGCACTTTTCTTGTGGGGTAGGGGGGTGGACTAAGATACCATCCCTTGTCCCTGCTCTTGGGTGCCAAGAGCCCTTCTAGTGGCCTGGAAAGGTGATAGAGAAGAAAAGCAGGGGAGGAGTCTGCTCCTCACCCCAGGAGGTTTCTTACCCTCATCCCCTTTAAATGGGGATACCCTCACTCCTTAGACAGGGGGAATCTCCCTTACTTCAGTACTCTAGTCTTCACACCACAGCTCTAATCCTCTCTTCTTCTTCTCCTCTGACTACCTGAAGCAGGGGGTTTTATTAGGTTCTTGACAGGGCCTTAATTGACAACAGGTGTTCCAATTAACCTGTAGCACCCCTCCCTAGTCTATACAGAAACACGCCTTAATTAGCCTAGGGCTTATATATTTCCCCTCAAACACTCTACCACTGCTTTCTGGCACTCCTGTATCACACATATAATAAACCTCAGTGGAAAATCCTCTGATTTATTACTACTGCTCATTGACAATGGATAAAAGTCTAAACTGGCAAGTTGTACAAACCTTCCTTCTCCAAGCTGAACTATATAAGTATATAATAATTAACATGTGATTTCTGCAGGCAAATTCTTCTCAGCAGCAGCTGCTTTGCCACATTTTAAGTCCTTTTTTAGACTAATTAATGCTCCTTTAGAGAGGAAACAACCTAATACATTCTCCCCCACCCACTAACACTTGAGCATGTAGAAAATGCTCTTACAGCATTTACTGAATTCTGTATTAGGACAACCTCTGAATCCAGCCTCTAGGAGCAATTGTGGTTGTCATTTTTATTTCAGCATAAGAGGCTTGGAGTCAGGCAGAATTGGCGTCTGGGTAAACTATAGATTCGGTGTGTATGCTAGCCAAAAAGGCATTCAATTAGGTCAACACAAAAATTGGCAGGTGTAAAATATTTCCCTCTGTACCAAGACAGAATTCTCTTCTGTGTAACTAGGCACTACAGATGCCTACTCATCAAATGCTGCTATGACATAATGTAAACCCATGCTGCCCTGGCACGGGCAATATCATCTGTAGTGTCTGCTTTGTATATGACCATATATGTCTTCATTCTATCAAGACACTGACTGACTAACACCTTCATCCTCTTTCCTATTCATGGGGTCTGGGCTTGCCTTTTGCAGCTGATCCACCTTAATTAAATATTATTTGGGCTGACAAAAACCTGCACCTCCCCCCGTAGTCCTGTGGTTAGGCTAGATTATGAGAGCCAGGGGTTTAAATTCCCCACTGTGATGGAGGACTGCAAAGAGCCTTGTCTCCAACAACCCAGGTGCATGCCCTAGTTTCTGATGTAGAGTGATGGGGTGCGTCCTTGCTTTTGCTTGTAGCTTGAAGTTGTTCTGCATTAATTAAATATTGCTTGGGCAAAAGCAAAGACACCACTCCCTCCAGAGTGCAGGGATTTGGTTATGTCCTTGGGCTGTGGAAGAGGCAGGTTCACATCTGCTGTCTATCTGCCTTAAGAAGGGCTGTGGATTGATGTTGAATGCAGCCTTGGTGGGTGTGTCCGGGTCTTTGGGGAATAGCGGGGTGGGGGGGGTCCATAACTCTTGACTGTGGAAGCTGTTCCACATACATTAAATATTATTTGGGCCAGCAGCTTGATAAGGCTTCCACTGTAGTCCAGTGATTAGGTAATGAGCCTAGGGTGCCGGAGATGTGAGTTTGAATCTTGCCTGGTATGTGTGTGTATCCCCGGACCTGTCTGTAATAGCGAAGCTGTTCCACTTTAGTTAAATATGCTTTGGGCCAGTCTCACAACTACCCTCACTCTCTAGTCCAGTGGTTAGGATACTCGCCTGGGTTGTGGGAGATCCTGGTTCAAATCCCCCAGCTGCCTGTTCAGCAGGGATTTGCACAGGGATTTCCCGCCTCCTAGGCGACCGTCCTTTGGGTGGGCCATCCTTGTCCGAAGCCCCTCTCTTTCTCAAGAGGCCGTTGTCTTCTTGGGACGGAGAGGGGATTCGGACAGGGATCGCTTGCCAGCGACTCTCCCCAGGAGGTGGCGGCCCCCAGTTCACACCCCTCAAAAGAGCAGGGGAGTGCCCTGGGGTCTGCCACAACCTGGGCGTGTATCCTGATCAGGGTGGACAAGAGTGAGAGGGGGGTTTTACTGTAGAGCAGCATTGCCTCTTTAATTAAAAAAGTAAGAGGCCCTGTGCCAGGCCTCTTGCTCAGCTAGGAGGGGCCTCCTCTCACCCACCAGAGGCCCTCCTGTCCCACCGAGCGGGGATGCGAACCAGGGTCATCCACAATCCAAGCGAATGCCCTAACCCCCGTACCATAGAGGGACTTGAAAGCTTACGTTGCTCCGGTTAATATATAGTTAAAGTGTAAGGCTGGAGCAGTAAGAGATTAAGTCACTCACCCCTTTTCAACCAACACAGCAGGGATTTGAACCAGGGTCACCCACAATCCAAGTGAGCACCCTAACCCCCGTACCATAGAGTGACTTGAAAGCTTACGTTGCTCCGGTTAATATATAGTTAAAGTGTAAGGCTGGAGCAGTAAGAGATTAAGTCACTCACCCCTTCTCAACCAACACAGCAGGGATTTGAACCAGGGTCACCCACAATCCAAGTGAGCACCCTAACCCCCGTACCATAGAGTGACTTGAAAGCTTACGTTGCTCCGGTTAATATATAGTTAAAGTGTAAGGCTGGAGCAGTAAGAGATTAAGTCACTCACCCCTTCTCAACCAACACAGCAGGGATTTGAACCAGGGTCACCCACAATCCAAGTGAGCACCCTAACCCCCGTACCATAGAGTGACTTGAAAGCTTACGTTGCTCCGGTTAATATATAGTTAAAGTGTAAGGCTGGAGCAGTAAGAGATTAAGTCACTCACCCCTTCTCAACCAACACAGCAGGGATTTGAACCAGGGTCACCCACAATCCAAGTGAGCACCCTAACCCCCGTCCATAGAGTGACTTGAAAGCTTAGTTGCTCCGTTAATATATAGTTAAAGTTAAGGCTGGAGCAGTAGAGATTAAGTCACTCACCCCTTCTCAACCAACACAGCAGGGATTTGAACCAGGGTCACCCACAATCCAAGTGAGCACCCTAACCCCGTCCATAGAGTGACTTGAAAGCTTACGTTGCTCCGGTTAATATATAGTTAAAGTGTAAGGCTGGAGCAGTAAGAGATTAAGTCACTCACCCCTTCTCAACCAACACAGCAGGGATTTGAACCAGGGTCACCCACAATCCAAGTGAGCACCCTAACCCCGTACCATAGAGTGACTTGAAAGCTTACGTTGCTCCGGTTAATATATAGTTAAAGTGTAAGGCTGGAGCAGTAAGAGATTAAGTCACTCACCCCTTCTCAACCAACACAGCAGGGATTTGAACCAGGGTCACCCACAATCCAAGTGAGCACCCTAACCCCCGTACCATAGAGTGACTTGAAAGCTTACGTTGCTCCGGTTAATATATAGTTAAAGTGTAAGGCTGGAGCAGTAAGAGATTAAGTCACTCACCCCTTCTCAACCAACACAGCAGGGATTTGAACCAGGGTCACCCACAATCCAAGTGAGCACCCTAACCCCCGTACCAAAGAGGGATTTGAAAGCCACCTTTGCCCCAGTTAATATACAGTTAAAGTGGAACACTTGCGAGGCAAGAGATCAAGGTCCCAACCCTTCTCAACAAACAGAAAGGGGGTTTGAACCAGCAGCTCACTGGCTTGGGGGCAAGCAGCCAACCCACAGGACCACCAAGGGAGTCACAGAGTGGCACTGGCCCAATTCTCATGGAATAGTTACTGAAAGGGGCCCACCTGCAACAGAAAAGACAGAGGGAGAGCCCACATCCCATGACCTCCTAGCCAGGCACTTAGGTTGAAAGATAAGTAAGTGCTCAACTGACTTCTCTTCAAGAAGAAATGAGATAGGAACCACCAACCTCCCACATGCTGGGCATACCCTCCAACCACTGGACTACCCAGACCTACTTGCTCTGTATTTGCCCCAGTGAATATGTAACTGAACGTGACCCTTCTTCAACAGAAAAGACTGAGAGAGCCCCCACAAAGGAAAACCTCCGAGCCCAGCACTTAGGCCATTCACCTGAGATGCAAGCGATCAAGGTTCAAATCCCTGCTCAGCAAGAAGAAAGGGGCTTTGAACCCCCACCTCCCACATGTTGGGCACACACCACAACCACCAGACTACAGGGGGCTGCTGGATGGGCTAGTGGCCCCATGAATATGTCATGTAAGTGGAAAAGCTTCAGCAGACTAAAAGCCACAGGGGCCCAAGCGCCCCAGGAGAATCCCTCTTAGTCCAGAAGCTGGATATTTGAGAACAGGGAGATGGCTGTTTAAGTCCTTCCTTAGCAAGCTGGGGGAGGAGTTGAACCAGCATCACCCACACACTGGGTAAGTACCCAAACCACTCGACTACAGAGGGATTCATGTCACAAGGCTGGCCAGTTACTACTTAATGAAAGTGGCACAGCCCCAACAAGCTACAACGAGCAAGCCTCCTCAGGCCGTCCTTTACTTCAGTATTGGGGCTCATGCTTGAGAGAATGCAGAGCTCTATTCAAATCCGTGCTCATCAGGCGGGGAGAAGGAAATTGACCCAGCGTCTTCCCCTCCCAACCTCTGCTTGCCAGCCATGGCCAGGAACCCCTCAGGTGACTTAGGTGCCTAACCCATTTAGCGTAAGCTGGTTAGGGACTGGCTGAACGCTCCACAAAACAGCCCAGAGGGAAGGAGGCAGAGGCCGCCCCCACCCGCCATTGTAACTTTTAACCTCGTGGTTAGGGGGCCTTGTCCATGATGGGGCTTGGGGGCTGCTTCAGGTTCAGCTGGGAAAAAAGGGACAGT